AAAAAAAAAAAAACAAAGCAAACGAACATGGGCCACAGAGAGACACATATCTAAAGAGGCACATCCTCAACGAAACACATCAAATGCGAAACTAAAGTGACTGTCCACTTCACTCAATGTAAGAAGAAACTACTTTTTTTTTGATTTCACTTAGCCACACAGCACAAGTGAAGATAGATATGCAGAAAGAAAGTAGCTACTTAGAAGCGGAATATTCGTCAGCCAAAATACAAAATGGTGATTGAAAGGGAAGCCTCGCATACTCTGGAGAGACCACGCAAACATTGGGGGAATTACCAGCATCGTCAACATGCGCGCGAGGGAACCAATGGCCTGAGCGACGCCATTCATTGAACCCACATGCGCCTCGGGAGCGGAGCGTGCGACGAAAAGATATATTAACGCGTACGCCCACGAAAGCCCAACCTCGCGGACGGAGGTCACAACAGCAACGTATGTGAACACCCATTCACGTGGAATAAACACAGCACAGGGTGTCGCAACAGAGGTTAGAGCCCAGACAATGACACTGGCGTCCCACAGAAAACGGTTATTCTGCACCCACCTGGAAATTAGGGAAAAGTTGATGTTTGCAATGACGCAGACAACGGATGCGGCACCCATTAACCAGCCCACATCAGGTGAGGTGAGGTTCAGCCCACCCTTTTCGACTGAAGCAATTGCCCAGAGCGGGACAACTTCTAACAAGGCGCACTCTGTTGAGGCGATGCACATGTACATCACCAGGACCACCCGTGTGCTTTGTGACTGCAATGCGTCACGATATCCAAAAGTAGAAAATGCCTTACTCTCACCATCATTGACATCTTCCAACACAGCCCCTTGCCTGCGGCTTCGCATACCAGTTGTGACTGAAGAACTCTCGACAGCGACAGTACAGTGTGACACGTCATCAATAGCTCTTCCAGTGCCCTTGTGTGCAAGCCAAGACGGTGAATCCCCCAGACGGTTGATAGCACCAGCGTTTTCTTCTTCAGTAGGCGCAATTGTACCAATACCTTCAAAGTCCTGCTGCCTCGCATCCTCCTCCACCACTTCACTTTCCACAACCACTGTGGTTGGTCTGCCTCGAAAACACAGCGAAAGCAAAGGGTCCACTACATTTTTACTCGTCTCGGGTAGGAAAAAACTTGTACACATCAATACAAATATAGAGAATACTGTTATGACCATTGCTGGAAGCAACGCAGGATGAAGAACCAGAATGTTTGTTGTCTGTTCATCGAACGAGAAAAAATGGCCAATGGCAGAATTCTTCCCTGGATCATACAACAGTCCACCCACTGTTGGCCCAACTATGGAACCGACGCCCCAGAAGAGACTGATTGTGGAGAATCCGAGGCTTTCGTTTGTTTTGTCTGTGATATCTGCAATGACGGTTTTGGCAACAAGCACGTTGCCGTTGGCGCAGCCGTGGAAGAATCGCATCAAAACGCAGAATTCAATGCACGGACTCATACCGAAGAATGCTGAAGCAACCGCGTTGAAAAACAAACCCAACTGAATCATGGGCTTACGCCCAAAACGATCACTCATTCTTCCCCAAGTTTTGGCAGTAAGCATCTGTCCCAAGTGGAACACCGAAACAAGAATGCCAGAAAGAAAGCCAGCCTCATCTGGTGAGACTTTGTGGAGGTGTGCAACGTACAGACCCACAAACGGCAATATCAGAGTTGAAGAAATAGATTCACTCACCAAAACCATTGATAACGCCGCTAGTTTACACTGAAATGACTGGCTTTTACGTGACATCACGGGCACGCCCACCTGTTTGTACTGTATTGTAACTTTTTTTTTCCTTCCTTCTGTCCTCTTAACGTTCACCGTTAAGATGGAGACCAAAATAAAGCAAAAAAGAAAACAACAATAATCACCGACGACAATATGCAAACATATGTATACATATATAGATATATATATATATGTAGGGAAAAGTAAACCACATTGTCATGGGGAGGTTACAAAAGTAGCAGCAAGCCTATATCAACGCAGCTACCGAGCCGTTACTCACTTTTCCAACTATACTTCTTCTTCGTCAGCACTGACCTGCTCCCCCAGTTTGTTCACTTCACACGCGAGCCTTTCTAGCGACGACGATCCAGGGATGGGAGAGGAGCACCATGTCTTGCCTGCTACGTCGCCCAGCATCAACTGCAGTCGCAGCGGCCACGCAACATCCCGCGGCATCACCGCCGCGAGGGTGCGGCCACCCGGATGCGTGCACGTCTCCATCGCGACACCGCGCGAGGTGCGCAACGTGGCGATATGGCGAAGCGTCGCTCGGAGTGGCGGGAGCGTGCCATTCCCCGCCTCCACTGAGCCGTCCATGCGGGCGATTGCGGTGCGAATGCGGCGCTCCATGGTGGCACGGTGCCGCTTCTCCGTGGAGAAGGCGACCTCCGGGTCCATGCGCGGGTTCATCACAGCGAAGCGCTCCTCCTGCGTCACCTTAGGCCGCCACTCGCAGAGGTGCGTGAAGGGTTCGTCGAGCTGAAGCTGCTCCTCAGAAGAGGCGTAGAATGCGGCGTACACGCGAAATGCCCAGGGAAGCGCGCTAGACGACTGTAATGACGACAACGATGGAGCGCCAATTTGCAGCTCCGCGTCAAACGTACTGTAGGTCGCCACATTCCCGTCACTACTGATGATCTGCAGTAACAGAAGGGCAATTTTACAGGTTGAGGAACGTCGACGAGTCTCAAAGACAGATATAGTCACAAAAGAGGCGATGGATTCACTCGGCTCCACGGCAAGGAACGACGGAAAAAGTGCAGTAGATGCTACACCAGTATCACTGCATCGCCGAAGGGAAAATGTAACAGTAAGCGTTCCCGTAATGCCCCTTCCGACGCGAAGGACAGGAGGTGCATGGTTAATGTAGCGTAACCGATTCACACTACCACACGGTGGCCGCTGTTGCTGCTGCTGCTGCTGTTTGAACAGAAGCTGAATCGACTCTGAAAGCTCCGTGAGTGTTTTGCAGGTTGCCGCCCGTGCGGCGGAAGCAGAGGACTCTAATGTCTGGTGTGGCGATGCGTCACTGCCCATTTTCTTTGCCTTGACCTCCCTCAGATGTGCCTGCAACGCGTCCCATATGGGGTGCAGCATAGCACGGGCCCAGCAGCAGTTGTAGTGCGCTGCCGCGTAGTCGATACACACCTGGACTTCGTCCAGCTGCAGTTGGAAGGGAAATCCATCAGCAGCTGCGAGGTGCTGCACAACCCCCCATACGTCACCACTGTCCTGGAGCGATGGCAAGGAAGAGGAGGGGGAATGCGCACTCTCGCACATGCCTTCACATGAATCAGCTAGAACACAAACACACACACACACACACCGCAAAAAAAAAAATAACTAGTATTAAACGCAAGCATAGCAGGTGAAGAATACGAGACAAATAAAAAGAAAGCTACAGACACTTTGGAGTGGCCACAAAAAGCCCTTTTTGTTGTTGGCTGGGAAACCACCTGACACCTACTTATAATTCCACCATCCACACAAGTGTTTGAGGTCTTCAATGCAAACTCCACCGCCTAGACGTCACTAAACTGCTGCGCGGCACGTCGCACAATAATGCGTGCTGCCCGCCGCACCTCCGCCATCGTCGTCCCCCGCCCTGTCGAGAGGCGAAGCGTCCCGACGGCGCGGTCGACGTCAACACCGACTCCCTTCAGCGCCGCCGAGACGTGAATTTCTGCCGTCTCTGCGTGGCATGCGGAGCCGGCGGACATGCACACTTTGTCGCCCACCGCATGGATTAGTGTCTGCGCCGATATGTACTTGCGACACCCGGAACCAACATCCCTGTAGAGCGCAATGTTGAGCGTATTGGGCAAGGCACATGCGAGATCACCATTAACAACGTAACTCATATGAGCCTTCGCTAATTCCTCCTTGATGACATGCAGCAACTCATCACGTGTGTCTCGCATCCTCTTTGAGTTCTCTGGTAAGTTGTGGAGTGCAACGTAGAGAGCCTCCGCCATACCTGTGGCCAGCAGCACATTCTCAGTGCCAGGCCGGATGCCGCGCTCGTGACCGGCACCGAATAGAATATTCTTCAGCTTGACACCCGGCCTCACGTAGAGTGCACCCACTCCCTTTGGCCCATAGAACTTATGTGAACATATGGAGAGCAAGTCCACTCTCATCTCCCTCAAATCGACAGGCACTTTCCCAGGCGACTGTGCAGCGTCCGTGTGGAAAAGTACCTCCACCCCACACAAGTCCTTCACCATCGTCACGAGCTCACCGATAGGGTTGACGGAACCAACCTCGTTGTTCGCGTGCATGACAGAAACCAACGCCACACTTCTCGGACCCCCTGGAAGCTTCAAGAGAAGATTGCGCCATTCTTCGACGTCGACGCATCCGCTTTTCGCATTCACAGGGAAGCGATGCGTCATCAGTTCCGGCTTCGACTGCTTCTGAAGGAAAGAGAACACCTCCTCAACAGCTGGATGCTCCACAGCGGTACAGATAATATGGTGACGCGCCGGGTGCTTTTCACAGAGCGCTATTGTCCCACCTACAATAGCCAAATTGTTCGCTTCCGTACCACCCGATGTGAATATAATACTATCGGGGCCTTCGGCATGTATGGCGTCGCACATTTTGCGACGTGCCTCCTCAAGGGCAAACTTCGCCGCCAGCCCGTACGGGTGCGACGAGCTCGGGTTTCCCCACATACGGCGCACAGCGACCATCGCCTTCCATGCCTCTTCGCCGAGCGGAGTGGTGGCGTTGTAGTCGAGGTAGATGGGAAGAGGGTCCGTGGGGGGAAGTGGGCCAGGTCGGCGGCGCTTCAGCGGCGGCCCCTCGACGTTGCACATGGATGCGTGTGATGACTTGTTGTTCCCCTTTCCTTGGTGTCTGCCCTTCCAACAGCATGAGAGAGCAAAAGGGAAGAGGGAGACTCGAGTAGCAGCTGATGAGGATGTGAGAACGAGCAAAGAAGAAGTATTCCCATAATTTCTTGTTTTCTGGACTCACGCCGCACTACATTGCAGCATTCCCTTTTTTGTTCTTTACACAATTACCAACGACGGCGGGAGTGTGGAGAGCCGACTGCCCTCCAATACCACACGTGCATTCCGCCTTCATTCTTGCGGCCGCTGCTGCTGCTGCTATTGTTGTTGGTGTTGTTGCTGAACACCCACCCACAGAGAGAGAGAGAGAGAGAGAGCTTCTAACGCTCACGAATGCAGCCTTTGGAGTTCATCTCGTACGCGTGAAAGGTCCACGTCAGGGCACTCGCTGGCCACCTCCTCCATCATCAGTGGCACCTCCTTCTCTACAACACCGGCGGAGAACGCCCCGGTCTTCAAGAAGTCTAGCGTCCCCTGAACGCTGCCCAACGCGTTCGACCCTGTAGGAAGGTGCGGGAGCAGCTCGCTTAGGGCTTCAACGAGATGCTCGTATCGATGCATCTGCGCAACCTCGCGTTGGCGCATGCGCTGCATTCGTTCGGCATCTTCCGCATCTTCCTCCCGCCGCCGTTTTCGTCGCATTTCCTCCAGCATCGTCTCGTAATCATCATCATCATCATTATTATCATCACCATCCCTCGCCTCAGCACTACCATCTCTGTCATCACCTACTGCCTCATCTGCACCGCCCTCAAGGTTCATATTCCGCTCAAAGCGGCCTCGACGGGGCTGCTGGTGGCGAGCAGTGGCGCGCAAGGCGGCCTCCCGCTGCTGCTCCTGTTGGTGTTCCAGCAACTCCTCAGCACTGATAGTATGTAGCCGCTGCAGAAGCTCGTTCTCTAGCTCCATTTGTTCTGTCAGCGTTACAGGTCGACCTTCTCTCTTGCGTTGATCGATGATTTTTTGCCGGCGGTTGTATTCCTTCATAATGTATTCCTCCACAGGGGTGCGTGCTGATGTCATCTTGTTCCAGTTGATGTTCGGCAGTGTTGGCGTGCTGTACGCGAGATTATGCTGTGTCGCGACGGAACGAAACTGCGCATTTTCTGCAATAACAGCTTCCTCAATTGAGGCTGCTGTTGCACCCTCCACGACAAAGTGCTCGTCCGGGTTGAGAGCTGACACCATGGCAGGAATTCCAATCTTACCCTTCCGCACAACTGTAGGGGTGGCAAGCATTGTAACAGCACTCTCCTTTGAGGGCTGCAAGGTAAACAAATCGCTACCGACATGCAGAGTAACGCTGCCGTCACTCCACCGCACAACTCGGGCATTGCTCATGAACGTGTTGCTTCCCTGATGATGCGCCCAACGAATGACGTTCTGCGTGGTGTACAGCATGCGTTCCGTGCTCTTCAGAGGTGTGCACTTCGATGGATGGAACGGCTTAGGGTCCATATGGAGCGTTTGGCGGTTTGGCACAATTTTCGGCATGTCAGTGAGCCACAAACCCTCATGCTGGCCGAGTTCCGGTGCGTGCGGCAAAGAAGACTTTAGACAGCCGAACGGCTCCATGCGTTCATCCTCCAATGCGGCAGCACCTGCCTCGCCAAACCATTTTTCCACAGCTGCAAAGCGGGCAGCTGCCTTGTTATCCGCCATTTCCTTAGCCAACTTTATTTGCTTCTCGTCCTCGAAGTCGACATCCTCCTCGTGGACGCAGGAGCCGAAGAGACGCAGAAGCATGTTACGTGTGTCGACCAGGGCGGGATCGACCGGCCGCTGTTCTCCCACCTCGAACAACTCACCAAAGAGATCCTCAATGGCCAAGTGGGCGTCATCGCCATCCTCGCCTTGTGTGATGGAAGGGTGAAGAAAAAGTCTCTCTCCATCGGTGAGTGTGACCATGTGCTCTGCTGCTTCTGCCCCCTTTGGTACCGCGTCTGCTGGTGGTGGTGGAGCAGGAGCATCAGCTGCAGACGGCATCAGCGGTGGATCTTCCAGCTGCGGCGGAGCGGTGAGCTGGTCGATATGCAACGTGGGCTCCATTTGCAATGCCGCACCCTCGACGCCAATGAAACGGGAAACCTCAGCACAACACCGGAGGAGGAGGAGGAGGAGAGGCAACAGGAAAAGCGAGGATTCACGAAGTAGCAGAACGAGGGATGCAGACCAAATAAACAAAAAAAAATGAGCAGAAAAAAGAAGAAGAGGATGCGCACCTGGCCAGCCCGCAAAGGGTGGTGATGTAAACTCAACCTCCTGCTTAGTTATGAAGGTCTTCGTTACGAATCTGAGCACGCTGCTTTACGCGCCGCTTCTTCAGGTCCCACTTCCGTCCCAACTGCGCGGCAACAGCGAGCCCGCGCTCCTGTGCCTTCTCCTTCCGCTCCACCTGCTTGCGGCTCAGCTGCTTCTTCGATTTCCGTTTTGGAGCTTCGAGCACCAAATCCCCCACCACTCGCACGAGTTTCTTATTGAGTTCAGCGTTCTCATCGGCTGCGGCATCGGCGTGCGTGAGGCGCTGCACTTCAAGGTCCGTCTCGAGCTCCAGCTGCTCTTGCTTGCCCTTTTCCTTCTCCTCCAATTCCCTCTGCACCCGCTCAACCTTGCGCTTCTGCACCGTTTTACGGTGGGCCCTCTTCTTGGCCATCTGTTTAAGTTTGCGCACCAGCTTCGTCATGGTCCAACACACCGCCAGCACGTCTCGCCCCACCTTGCCACTAAATACGGAAACACCGACACCCCAAGATCAAAAACACACACAAAAAACAAACAAACAAACAGCACAAACCGAAGGAGGATGAAAAGAACAAAGCAACAAACGAAACAGGAGAAGATATGAGATACAAATGGACCAAGAGCTGGTTTGTGACCAGCTCTCAATGCTCCGTGCTAGATAAGGAAGATGGAGAATTCCTCAACTAACGCCATTGTCAAACAAGGTCAGAAAGATAGCGAGAAGAGAACGCACAAAACATCATGTACCATTATTCCCACCTTCTTTTCTTTTGTGTGCGATGCATCATGACGCCCCGAAGGCGTCCGCTTGCTTCCCCTTCAGCCACTTGTTGAACAGATACGCTGAAGGGATTACAAGTGGCGCTTGCTGCCGCATGGCATCAGTGTTTGAATCCTCCCCTCCAACATGGCTAGTACTCATCGGAATCGCAGACTGTGGCATGCGCGGGAAACGCAGCCAGTCTTCCGCCGTCGCAAAGGTCAGCGAACGTGTTGTTGGTAGAGCGACAGAAGGACCGCGAGTTGGCACCACTTTGGAGTCGTTGAGTTCCAACTGACCACGGTGGGTGTGCATAAGGTCCTCCTCCTGTAGCTGATGAAGGTAAGCGATGAACCGTTGAAGATCGTGCGCGTCATCGTCCGATGACGTCACAGACTGCACAAAGGTGGAGAGAAAATCGATTCCAAAGTCTGGAATAGACATACAGGCTGCCTTAAAGGCACGCAACAGTTCGTCGTGAAGCTGCACAAAACGCTCACGCTTTAGGTTCTGAGACGCAAGCTCGTCGAGAGTGTAACAGGCGTCGTTGCGTTGATCAATGTCGGTCCAGCCGCCCACCGTGTGGGCCCCAGCAAGCCTGCGGTACTTGCGCATGATACCCAACACCGCACGTTGGCTTTCCGCCGTCGCCGGCAGCACCACCGAGTCAAAGAGCGGCTTCAGCGACATCGCAGTTCGCGCCGATGCTGCCGACATTGGGGTGACCGGCACTTGCCCAAGTCCCTGAGGCCGCAACGGCGTCGGCATATAGCGACAGTCCTCCGATGATGACATACGGGCGAGATGCGACGGCAGGCGCCATGCGTAGTGCGAGGTGCGCGACTTCTCTGGCAGCGGCGCTTGTGCGGCAAAGAAGTCGCGCTTAATGGCCGCAATTGCCTCCATGCATCGGTTCTTAGAGAGTGTAGGGGAGGTAGAGTACTGTGGCAGCACGATGCCATCGTCGGCCATCTTTTCCTCTGCCACGGCGCTTTCCTTGCTGGCGGCACGCACCGCTGTAAGAACGGCTGTTATTCTCGCACGCCGCTCCTTCACGTTGGACACACCATTGCCAACGATAAGTGGATGTTGCAACAGCTGCCGAACCGTCGGCCGGATTTGTGGATCTTTTCGAAGACAGCAGGCAATAAAGTCCCTCAGCCGTCCTGTCGGCAACTTTTCATTGAGGAAGCTCTTGCGCGAGGCGTTGACTGTTGGTTCTACCGAGCATGGCGAGGCGCTGAGATCTTTGATGTATTCAGAGAAGGCTGTTTTGCGTGCTGTAGGCCGCGCCATCTCGAGCGCTGAGACCCCAAGTGACCAGATGTCGGTGGGAAAGCTGTGTGACGTAACGTGGCCGGAGCGGTAGTCCATCATGCCGCTGTCAAGCACCTCCGGGGCGATCCAACCAATGGTGCCGATGACAGTGTAGCGGCCAGCCTGTTGGCTCATGTCGGCGCACGTGCCAAAGTCGCACAGTTTCACGGACGCGGTGGCACGACTGAGAAGCATGTTCAGCGGTTTAATGTCGCGATGGACGAGGCGGCACTCCTCGTGAATATAGAGCAGTGCCTGGAGAACATCGTATAACACCACGGCGACCTCCGCCTCCGTCATGGGCTTGTCGATTTGACCAGACGCAATCATTCGCAACACCTTTGCGACAGACGCACCTTCCACTAGTTCCTCAACGATGCAGAGTGATGGTACCTCTGCAAAGTTCAAAGCCGCCTTTTCCACCTCGCCCTGTATGCCCTTTGACGGTGGTGGTGGCGGTGGTGCTGCGGAAGGCCTGCCATGATTTGTAAAGGCCGTGTAATAGGAGACAATATTAGGGTGCTGCAGGTTGCTTAGGTATGACACTTCCTTCAGGACAACTGTGATGTCGTCAACCACCTCTGTGAAGATGGTCTGCTTTACCGCGACAGCTTGGGCCTTGGTACGCCACATCTCTTCCTTGTCACCGTGCTCCTTCGGAAGTCGGTAGGCTTTGAAGACAGTGCCATACGCACCCATGCCGATGATGGAGTGAAGACGTATGAGATGACCCGTACCATCATCCATATCTGCGGGGGCACGCGGGGTGACGTGGGAAGAATAGCACACAAAAAAAACACACAACGCTTTCTCACTGATAATGAATTAATGGTACCAGATACTCCACTACTCAGTTTCTATCTAAATGAGTAAATGGGGAAACAATCGACGAAAACAAACGAAGAAAAAGCGGAAGAGGAGATAATAACACTACTACTCTTAATAATAATAACAATATCCAACACATGCCTGGCTATATCCACTCAACAATAGAGATGCAATTTCCCACGCCTCGGTAGCGGTTTTTGTGCCATGCGTATGCGTGGACTGAATTCGTACACACATACAGACACATTTCACTCGAGTAGCTGCTTCGCGCGGAAGAGGCCCTCCAAAGCCTCCCCGAACTCTGGAGCCGTAATCATGCAACCCAATTCGTGACGGTAGTTCGGGTCCTTCGTCACGGTCTTTTGGAAGACTTCACGAAACATTTCGGCCAGGATGCCTTGCACTAGCGACGTATTCATATCCTTGTCGGTAAGGAGCGCCACACGGTAACCTGTCATTGTTTCGGCGAAGTGAAGTTTGTAGAGCGGCGTCTGCACCGCTTTCAATCCGCCCAAGCCTGTCGAAGAAAGCTGTGATGACAAATGCTGCAGTGTATAGATGAATCCCGCGACGAGACTAGCCTCACCTTCCTGCACCGCACTTGTGCGCTTCCACTGTGCGTAGTAGATGTTGTCACCGTAGCGGTTGAAGATGTATACGGAGTACAGCGTCATTACTAGCACCTGCACCACCAACAACCTCATTCCAAGAAGAAAAAGAAAAGAAAAAACAACAACAACAAGAACAAGAAAAAAGGATACGAGTGAAAATCCATCGATTGGTTGAAAGCTCAGCGTTAGTATTTCTTTTTCCCTCTCTGCATAGGCATGCATGTATGTATGTATGTGTGAGTGTGTGTGCGGGTACTCATCTGAAAGACGGAGGCAGCAGGAGCTCGCACACTTCACGAGGACTGCCTCGAATTCCGCGCATCATAGTTTGCCGGCCGCACGTACTCGTCGCTCACGCCCCGCTCCTCACGCAGTGCATCGCGGTCGAGCGGCATGCGGTACTCATCGATGATGTTTGGCACCGAAGGTGCCAGCCCCGCAGCGCCCTTCTGATGGCGCCACCGCAGCCGTGCCCACGGGGTTTCGCGCCGCCGCCGCTCATTCGCCGCCATCTCCCTCACGCGCCGGGTCTCCGCCTCCATCCAGTGGTCGTAGTCGTTCATCTTCCGCCGCTGCAGCCGTCGCCACCGCATGAACTCATTGTCGAAGTGGGCCTTTTGCACCTGCTCCTCCTCGTCAAGGTTTAAGTCTCGCTCGCTCATGTCGAGACGATCGGCGCCAATATCGACCGATGCTGTCCTTGACTGCAGCTCCACTGTCGCGGTGCCGCTTTCCTGCGGATCACAAATGGGAAGATAGTCCCAGTTTCCGCGCGGGCGCAGGGCGTGAAGGGCAACAGAGAACATCACCAACGCGTCGGTCTGAGGCACCTCATCGAGCAGAAGCTGCGTCAAGGGTCCAACGAGCTGCTGCGACCAGCGTCGCACAGAGTTGCGCTTGTGGTTGGGTCCTGCGATAAGGAGCTGGCCTCGTGCCGCCTCGTTGGTGAAGCGGCGGCGACAGTAGTCGGAAAGTGCCTCCCGCTCTACAGCCGACGTGTTCATGAGCGGGCTCCGCGACACCAAACACTTTCCCCTACCATCGTTAGTGTTCCTTTCAACAATATCATCATCGTCGTCTACAGGGGTTATGCAGACTGTCGACAAGTTGTTTCTTTGAACAATATGGTTCAACATACCGTACACATTGTCACCGTCCTCATCCTTCAAGGTGTAAATAGGAACAGCCTTCTGGAAGTGAGCTCCACGCGCTGCCCGTACCACACGGTGATCGTACAGATCCGCGCAGTGGTTCGTCGCGATAATGGCGTCATACTGAAACCCTGCAGCGGTGCGAAGTACGGTGCCAAGGAGACCAGGATCATCCACGTTGTCGAGCACGAGAATCCGATCAAATCGCTGCTTGTTCGCGATAAGTTGTTCCTTTGGTGGTGGTGGCGGGATTTCAAAGTCGCCAATGAAACCATCATTGCCTGGTGCACAGACCTCTGCCACATGCCTGTCTACACGCACAATCTCCGTCTTCACACCCTTCTTGCTTGTCCATGACGGCACATCTTGCCCATCACGGATCAACAGATGGCGTGGTGTGTAGCCTTCTTCAAAAAGCTCGCGCATCATGTCTTTACCGGTGATGATCATCATATTCTTGGAAGAACGGTACTTGTGGTTCTGACGCAGCTTCATAAAGTGCTGAATCAAATGGTGCCGCTCGTCATCAATGACGGTACCCTCCCAAATGATGTTCTGCTGCAGTTGCATCAAAAGGGCGCGTTGCGCCCGCTTTTGCAGCACCTCTGCTGGAAGCGCTGCCGGGGAGCGTGCCTTGGCGTGGACTGCGTCGGGAATAACGATGTTGCGAGAGGCCGGGTCATTTGGCGCGAGTGGGTGACTGTATGCCTGCTTAGACCGCCGCGCTGCCGTGCGCTGCTCGCCAAAGAAGGACTGTCCTCGACACTGCATGTGGGCTGCCTGGTCGGTAGACGCCGTAGACGTCACTCCGACGCCGGAAATCATCACCCTGCATGTATTTTGCACACGCCTCATAGACCTAACCTCTCCCTTTTCCCGAGGGGTTCACAACAACAACACACTGCAGAGAGGAAAGCACCACATGTATATGTGTGCGGAAGATAGGGTAGTCATACGGAAGGAGGAGGAAAGAAAATCGTTTGGAAAATGTGGCAGAACAACCATTGTCAACAGCAGTAGACATTCGTTTGCTTGAATTTGTTCCCCTTCCAGATTATGGGTCCAAGAATGTCAATCGGAACTCACTCACTGTAAGAAGTTCCTTGCGTATTTTCAATACATCCAGCCATAAAAGAGTAGGGAATTATGACTGCTCACTGCTCCACATGTGTTTCGTAATGGAAATCGAGCCGAAACATTTTGTTTCGTTGCCTCCACGTTTCAACACAAACCGCCTTTTTATTTTCCCTTTTGGTATATGCGTGTGTGTGAGTTACTGCTGCTGTTTTCGGCACGTCATCCAAACGGCCCGCACAACTCCTTGGTGTACGTCGTAGGGTCTAACAGTGTGGGTAGCATCACCATCGCGTTCAGCGTCGCCAACGGCACCACGACCACTAATGCCTGTGGCTCGCGCAGCACCGTCACCCCGTTGAGATGCTCCTCCAGGAAGGATAAGAGATACGGCAGCATCTCATCCCCAGCCTCGGGGCATAGGCAGGTGCCACTGTGGTCCTCCGTCACCGACCGGAGTTCGAAGCGGACGTTGCAACCGACAGACGACTGTGGCGCGGTGTCGCTGTTATTGCTTGCTAACACAGGTGGGTGCGTCGACGCGTGAACCACCGGCCCGACCATCTGCACATCGGGGTATGAGGAGCGCACATTTTCGTCGTCATCGTACTGACCCTGAAAGGACGCCATGTACATCGCCCCTTCGGTGATACTGCACGCAAGAAGGGCGGCGATGTGCTCCCCGAGGCGTGTTACGACACGTTGTGCAAAGCACAGCGAACAGGCCAGGGCCGCTGTGAAGGAAAGAAATGACGACTCGAACACGGTGCCACCCGACCCCACAGAGAGGAGGAGGCCGTGGTGGTCCTCCAGCGAGTAGCGGTGTACCTCGCGTATGATGGCGAGCGTGGACTCACTGCCCGCGCTGATCGGTTCTTCGAACTCCTCGCCAGGGAGGGTGAAGGCGTGCAGCACGTACACACCGGGGATCCGTGTGCCGGGCGGACTAGGAGTGAAGAGGCGAAACAGAGGCGACCGCAACCCACGAGAAGCGTGGTGCAGCACCAGCGGCACCGTCGCCACAACAGGCGGCTTCAGTGCCAAAAACTCCAGTCGCTCGTCGAATCCAATATAGAAGTCCAAATAGCTTCCGTATTGCGTGCCGTTAAATACACGAAACATAAGCTTGCCGTGATCGACACGAATGACAGGTCGCTTTTTCACAGTTCCCTCCGCGTCTGTGCCACCCACCTCCAAGAATTTCTCCATCAGAACTGTGACAGTGTGGAACGGCCGCTCCCTCTCCAAATACTCCACGCCGGTGGCGACGTGCAGTTCAACGATGATCCCTGCGCCTGACGCGATCAGGAGGTAGCGCCCCTCAGGCAGACGCATGCGGAACGCGAAGGAGGCTCCCGGCGGACAGAAGTACGAATCTAGCCGTCGTCGTTGCGCCTCCTCGCTGAGGAACAGGCGGTGGTGCTTGCGCTGCAGCAGCGGCGGCGGGCTGGGTTCCTGGAAGAACACGGCAACTTGTCCTAGATTTGAAACCTCGGTTCGCTCCGTGCACATGGGGCACCAAATTACGTTTGTTTGGTGGTATGTGGCGCGGAAGCAAATTTTGCTCACTGCTGTAACGCGCAGCATGTCGCACCCACACGATCGGCACGTAATCACAAACTGCATAGAAACTAAACCATACTCATTCGCGAGAAGCAGCTGCTCAATCACGACCCCAACAGATATTCTTAATCGGACCGCCAGCGACAGCGGATTCCAGAGTGTTATGTCGTTGTAGTAGTCGCGCTGCTCATTCGCTGCTTTCGTCGCGGCCTCATTCACAAGCGGAGACGCGTCCTGCGCGGTGCGTCCAGAGAGAGGAAGGCTGCGAAACTCCCCACTCGCCAACGGGAACTCTTCTTGGAGAGATGGTGCTAGGAAATCGTTTAGCGCCAACCAGAATGCTTTGTCGCGACGATTAGAGGGTAGTGTTTGCCAATTACTTACAGATAGATTAGATTTTTTCCCAGGCGGTCCCCCTCGGTCTTTCGGCATTACCCCCTTATCCTAGAAACATAGAGGAGATAATGGAAACAGAGGTGAATTCTGAATGCATGCAGTTTTCATGTGTACGTGTGTCTGTGTGTGTGTCTCCGTGCAATATATATATATATATAAGTATGTTCTGTTGCCTGCGAAAGGAAGGGTGAGGGAAATGGAGTCGTGACAAAATGCAGTTTAACACCAGAAGACGGCGGAGGCAATGACATGCTTCACATCATACGTTGCTTCTGGCATCGCTCCGCATACACACGCACAGACACAGACAGACACTTACACAAAAAGCAGACACAGACAGACATAAACATGCATAGATATGCGACACAAAAACTGGAGAAGCGTTTTCTAGTACTGATACAGCCCGAAGACCGTAACGACAGCGAAGAGGTGCTGGTTGATGTACACCTCCTCAAAGTAATCATCGGTGTCAGAGTCCCAGAACATCTTGCATCCCGCCCGCAAACCCTGGCCACGCTGCTCCCCAATCATGCAATTCACCATGATCTTGTACCGCTCCAGCTCCAAACCACGAATGTGGTCACGCACGGTATCGGCGATCTCCTTGCTAAGGCTCTGGATCTCGTCGGCCTTGTAGACCTCGCCCTCCAGCCGAGTCTTGAGAATGGAGCGGACAGTCGGCCGGATTTCGTTGGGGCGAAACTTGTATCTGTGCTCGGGGCGGAGAGAAAAGGTTGTCGGGTCAACCACTTCCGACTGCATGACGACAACACTAGACCGTGCCTCTTCTGCTCGTGACCACGTCAAGCAAAGTAAACAATGAGAAAAAAAAGAAACAAGGAAAAAAATGCATTGAAAACGAAGGACGTTGCGAAGCAACAACCAAAAAAAAAAGAAACATGCTTATGCCTATGCCCACATGTTTCGGCTTTAGGTGGGTGAATGTGTGTGTGTGTGTGATATGTGCATGCTCGTCAAGGCATCATTCACTGCAGCATGTTCCTCTCTCGGTGTTTCCACCCGCACCACCCGGTGCCCCAGCAGAGTGTGGCGGGGCACATCGCTCCAATATAGGCGTGATGAGTAGGTAGTCAAAGAGTGTACCACCAAACGACGGTTGTGGCAGCGCGGTGTCACGGGACATGCCGAACCTGAGGAGCGCCCTGAAGACGTCACCCACCGTCCACTCTTCCTGCTGCAACTTCTCGCACACCAACGCGAACCGGCAGCATAGGTTGTCATTTCTGAACGCCGAGTAGATGAGGGGCCGTCCCGCTTGTGATGCTGCGCACCACTGTATCATTAGCTTCAGCTCCACATCCCCATGGAATGCACCACATCCCCAATTTCCAGTTGCCACAGGACCAGAATGAACCGACGCAAGAGTGCTGTTTGACACCCCTTTAAACGCCACATACGCCTTTTGTGTCTCACGCATCACCAATGACGCCGAGTATTGCCGATCTGCAACTCCATGAAAGTTCACTGCATCCATGGCAACGACACAACAATTTCGCAGCAAAACAGGGCTTCCATCCCTTCTGCTCCGCATAGTGGTAGGCATTAACTCCACTTGCAGCTGTTGTTGCTGCTGGGAAGCTGTACTACAGCTCAAACTCACGAACCGCGGTGACAGACCACGAAGGAAGCAGAAATTTCTCGCGTACCCTTCAGCGATGCTATACTGCCCGGCCCCACTCATGAAAAGCACCTCGTTGTCCAGCAACGGCTCGCTGACAAGGCGCGAGAGCAGCAACTCTGGGAAAGTTACAAAGCGTATTTCCTCCTGCACACAACCACTGCGAAGCACACCCCCACCAACGACCTTGTTGGCGAAGTCCACTTGCAGGCTCCCGTAATTGTCTTCAATACAGCCCTCCACGTGCATGCTAACTGCCTGCATACGCTCGGTACTCCGGTCAAATGCTGGAAAGGAGGAGAGACCAACACGATAGAATTCCAAGCAAGTTGCCATCGCCTCATCCGTGTTCTGGGATGAATGCATAAAATACTGCAGCACACACCGCACCTTGGCACACTGACTCTTCATACGGTCGGGTGGTGCGTGACAGAACAACTCTATGAAATTAAACGGTGCGAGTTTATGCACTGTCCCTCTTGTCGGCGTAGACGTGACAGAAAAGCGACCGGGGAAGAGTGAGAAGAAGCCGCACGACATAAGCGTCGCGGCCTCCTCATGGGTGACCAGCCACCGCCTGCTCTCCCCCTGCGCAAGAACAGGGAATCCGTGCGGGATGACTGCAGGACCGTTCAGAACGGCGCGCTTCATCCACGGCAGTGTCACGCGGAAGAATGCGTCGCGCTCCGCCGGTACCATGACGTTATCGAGAACGTGGCACAGCGTGTTGAAATGAAAGGTGGAAGCAACGTGTGCGAAAGATTCATGCACGTGCAGCGCCTGCATCAGACACCGCAGGTCCTGTGTGCACTGCGAGGCGTCCTTCGCCATGACGGCGGTGATGATATCCCACGCGCTGCACACGTGACCGGCGTCCCCCACGCAGCGGTTGTCTTGTGACCACGGCAGTGTCACGCTGCTGCCCACGTGACTCGCGGCATTCGTACTCACACCTGCTGTAGTAGTAGTAGTAGTATTAGTACTGGTGCGTTTGCCCCGCAGGTAGGCGTCCAGGGTTCGTTGCTGCAGCTTAGAGCCAAGGGAGGCAGCTGTCATGCGCATCAGCCCCGCAACTGCCACTGCTGCTATTGGTTTATCCTTCGGTAAGAACGGAGAGACAAGACAGACGGCATGTGTACAACAACAATGCTCAAGGCCNCACAACACCGCCGCCCCCCCCCCCCCCCCCCCCAAAAAAAAAAAAAAAAAACAAACAAAACAAAACAAAGTAAAGAGAACCAGCAGGAGAAAAACCGCGAACGGGAACCCAAACAACAGGAAACACGGCAGCACCAACAGTAGTTCTGAAAAAAACAACAACAGACAAGAACGACTTACATAATCATCACCATGGTTTCCATCGTCAAGCTCTCGCACCCCTTACAGTGCCTCAAAGCAGGACCACAACAGGAAACAAACCACAGGCAAACAGGATTCAATAGTCTTGTTTACATATTGGCCCACAGCTCGGAGCTCCACATGCTGGTGGCGACACATGCCAGTTCCTTTGTGGTAAGCTCCGCCTTCTTGTTAAACCCACATGATGCGATGAGGTAACGGATAAGCGCCTTCCCTTCTATCTTTTCCTCCCAAGTGTCCTTGATGGCAGATTCAAACTGCTCGTAGTTCATCTCCACGACAGAGCTTGATGTTGCCCGATAGCTAAGCAGGCCGTTAAAGTACAACAGAAGCGGATCCTCAAAGTGTAGCATGGCTGTCACCAAGTAGTTACGCAGCGAGGTGAGCGTAATGGGCGCTGAACGCGTGGCCATCTGATATTCTGTTAGTATTTCACTAGCGCTCATGCTTGTCACGCGTGACGCCTTCTTATAAATGTGTTCCATCAGCGTATGTACATCTTCCTTCAGCACCGCCTCCTCTGGATTTGCGGAGGGCCAGTTGATACTTAGCTGGTACAGTACATGTGTGATGTAGTGAATACGCGTAGGTGATTCAAAGCCACGAATGCAGCTGAGGTATAAATCCACCAAGGGCTGTGACGCCATCATTGCGTCGAGAAAACACAGAATCTCATATAACGCTTTTGCCACAAGCTCCGGATAGCAGTAACGAGACTCCAGCTCCCGCACAATGGACTCTTGGAAGTCAGTTAACGTGTACGACTCCTTGAAGAAGCGCTCTGTCATGTTGAGCGCCATCTGAGTGTTCGTTGCGCGACCACGGGCCTGCTTGAGACAGCGCAGGTATCGCTCCTCCGCACGCTCAAAGTGCCGCTCACACGCGTTGAGGAGAATGTGGTCAATGTACGAGATATCAATGAGCCGCGGTGTCAGTGGGCGATAGCCGCCAAACAAATTTTGGTAGAGCAGCCACTCCGGGGAGCGGTTGGGCGAGAGCGGATTGAGGCGCTCAAAGGTAGTCGATGTTGGCGTTGACGAGGACGCCGCTGTTGTAGACTTCGCGTTGCCTTTCTTTCCACTCGGCTGCTTCAGTTCATTGAAGATGAAGCCGTTGTTCACTAGTTCAGGCAACTCCGACTCCGGTTCCTCGCGCACATAAGTCGTCTTACCGCCCCACTCGTCGAGGGCGTCGGCACTCGGCAGCACAGATGATGCTTGTTCAAGATCTTCGCCGACGGCTTCCTGCCGCATCGGGTTGCGGTACTTGACGTGCATGAAGTTCGTCCCCTGCGGCACGTGCAGCGGCGCAACAGGATCCACATGCATGACGGAGCACAGGAAGGCTTGCGTCAGCGGGCCAGGCCCCGTGTAGATGTCGATGCCAGAATGGAACTTATTGTTGCTCACATCCAACATCGGTTTCGATATAAAATACTGCAGCAACCGTTCCTGATTCGTCTTGTTACCTGAAGCGCCACTCTGCGTGCAGACACGCGTCAAGAGCTCTGTTGTCTCAACCGCCGTGCCAAAGATACTCGCCACCCACTCCTCCTGTTTCTTCTTTACAACCTGCAGCGCCTCCGCAGGTGCTTCTCGCGGCTGCACGGGTGGCCCCTTGGCGGACCGCGGCACCGTCGCACTTGCCTCTTCCGAAACAAGCGTTGGAGAAAAGGCGACTTGTGAAGCACGTAACTGGTGGATGCTAGAGTCGACGGAGTCAGCGAAGTCAAGGTCCCCCGGATCTTGTAATGACAAACGCTTGCAGTCGTATTCAATGGCGCTATGCTTCGAATCCGTGACTGTTGTAAAAAGTAGCGTTTGCCCTGGATCTGTGTCCAGTTCTGTCTCGGCTTCCGGCTCTGGTGAGGCAGCAGCAGCGGTAGCGGCAGCGTTACGCATCTCACGCGCGGCTACTCGCGCCACAAGCGCATCGTATAACCGCGGGTCACTCAGAAGCGAGACAAAACCATCCGTTTCGTCGCCCTCCTCACCAGACGGCGTATGACCATGCGGCACAAGACGTAGGTAGCGCTCCTCGCAGAGATGCATTTCCTCCAGAAGCACGGACACCACATCCAACATGCGTTGCTGTTGCTCCGGCTGCTCAGATTCTTCGCACAGCAGTGTATCCTTGTCGTAGTCGTCAAGTGCTTCGTTAACACGACTCTCGAGTTGACTCAGCATCACCAGAATTGACACCCGTTCATCACCCTCATCAAAAAGCCGCTTCATCACAGACATCTTTTTATCTTTCAAGTACATGTAAGCATCTTTTATCACTGTCGACTCCTTGTCACTAAGGTACTTTCGAAGCCGCAACAACCGCAACTGCATTTCTTTGTTGTCCTGCAGAAGGTGCTGCTTGTCGTCGTCAAACTTGTCTAAAAGACGGCGGTGATGCAGCCTTTGCTCATCGAGTTCGTCCCTGGTTTTGCGGTAGCTCTCAGCGGAGCGCTCGTTCTCACGCTCCAGCCGGCCTACTTCGTTTTCGTAGTATCCGACCATCTCCTGAAGTCGGTCTATCTGCTGTTTTAGCAGGGCCATATTGTTCCGTGTGTTGCCAAGATTCACTTCCACCCGAAGCGCTGCGTTCTCACGCAGCAGTACGTCCACCTGTTCAAAGTACGTCGAGCCTAATTCCTCCTCCGCAGCGTCCTCCTCGGCGTTCACATTGCGCTCTGGCATAATTTCATTGAGACTTTGTCGCGCAAAGGTGGCGCGACAGAACTCGACGCGGAACATCTTTAGCAGATCCGCCAGCTCCGGAGATTGATCCGCGGCGACACGCGACACGGCATCGAATAGCTGAAACGTCTTTAGCAGACGCCCCTCGGAGGGGGGCGCGTCAATGTTGTTTGTCACAAGTTCCTTCAGAGCGACCTCGTACTCCAGCAGCGCGCTCCGCCACCGCTCCTGCGCGCTGGTCCGCATCGCGGTCGCTCGGCTCTCCGAGGCCAGCAGTGCCAGTGGATTTCTCGCCGCATCGGAAACCCTGGCACTGCGCTGTTGCACCGCTGCGGGGATTGCGGGGAGCGAATTGGAAGCCCTGTCACCACCACTCTTCGCGTCTGGTCCCACGTGCACCTTCACACCACCGCTGCGTGATGAGAGATGAGACCTTACGGAGCCTTCGTTCATTGCGGCGATGTTGCCGCGCCCGTCCATGTGCCCCTCCTCTCTCCTTCTACTATTCTTTTTCCCTCTCAGCCAACTTTTCTTTTCCCTGCGTATTTGTGTAGCAAAGAGCAGGGGGGAAATGGCACACAACCGTGGTTCGGTTACCCCGCAGAGGGCACACACCCACACAGACACAAATCATACGATAAATAAATAAATAACCATATTTATATTTTACACACAAAGGGACCGTGACTTCCCCTCACAACAAACAAAAAACAAACAGTGACACACCTCACCGGCATGAATGCAATAAATTTCGTGCATGTATCTCTCTCTCTCTCTCTCTCCGCCTTTCCCTCTCTCTGTGTACGTGTGCATATGCAATAGGTATGTGTGCTTACGTGCATAAATGAGTGAATGAGTTATTGCTGTATGTTTACATGGTTGCGTGTCGACAGAAAAAAATCCACAGCAGTTGTGTCTGTTTACCACCAGACGCACCACCACTCCACAAAAACTCACCCACAACACCGAGAAACTACAGGAATCTTCATTCTCCCTACAAATGACGACCAAGAAGAATAATAATACCATCACGCGTATCAACAGAAAGCTATTAGCCTACTTCCACAGGTTAGAGCTGCGAATAAGTATGACAAATAGCGTCTGAGCCACCCCATCCACCACTAGAGGAAGCTGTAGGTTGTCTATGCCATCCATAAAGCATTCCGTCACGCTACACAGAAGAATTAGGAAGTAAGTGTATGCTGCAGCTCTCTCCACAACAGCTTGAGTAATCAGGAGAATGAAGAGCCAAAAAGATGCACCACACAACAACCCAGCGGCTGTTCCTGTCGTCGTTTTGTGTGTGATGGAAGCATTAGCCCTTTCCGTGTAGAACTTATTGTTCAAATAACGTCCCAAGGCTCGTCTGTATGGGATTAGAAATGTGCTGCCGACGATGCCAGCACACGCGTCCACAACACCCAACGACACAATTCCAGGAATGATATTGAGCGAAAGCCCCATTTCACGGGGCAACTGCATCACGGTCTTTGGCTGCTCGTGGCGATAGCGCAGCATCATTGAAAGTCCAAGCCCGTAGATGAGGTATATATGTGTGCGCACCGCACCGTTAATCGTCTCACGGCCGTCAATATGACTGGCAATGAACGCGTCGACGGTGTGGGAGCCACACACCCTGTAGGAACGCGCAAGTTCCACAATAACACTGAGACTGGTCGCTACAGAAAGCGCAAGTGAGAGGAACTGCGGGTCTACTAGCGCAACTGGTGTAAAGGCAACAACAGCGAGGAAGTGGAACAGCTTTCGTCTCGCCGTGCTTCGCAGTTTCGTAGTGAATTTATGCACAGCGACAACAGATATAGGTATCACGGTTGCCCACGCCATCAGAACTCTCACACGAAAGCTACTCGATGTGATATAATGCCATATCCAAAGCAGCGCATTCTCCTTGAATTGGAAGCTCACTGCCGCGTGCACGACCGCGACGATGCTCGTTAGCGAGCACCAGAAAAGCGCTGTGATGCGTTGCACACTAATGTCCCGTTCAGACGACTTGGAATTGTTCACGCGCGGCACCATGCAGTAGCGGGAGCCGACGTACATCACAATCGACAAGTAGATGGCGCACAGGACCGCACCACGACTTGCGATATGCGTCTTCGTGGTGAAGTAGCCTGGGGCATGCAGGATCTCCTCACCCCCAGCCGCACCGCTGTTGATCACCACGTCACATATGTAGAAACCCACCAGTGAGCCAACCAGCACAGCCTCATTCTCCCCCAATACAGAGCGTAACCCGAGGAAGAAGGCAAAGCCGGCTAGCACAAACACACCAGCACCGACCGAGATGACGGAGTCCTTGCAGATGAAGAACACCACCACAAGACCTACCACTGCGTACATAATGGCCTCCAAGTAAATGTTCCGATTCTCATTCCCACGCCGCTCACCTCGGCAAACGACTAGTGTCAAGTACGACAGGAGCGTTGATGCATAGAACTCAAGTGGAGCATGACCAAGCGACATCACATCATCTAGCAAACGCTCCGCCAGAAATAGTAGCGGAAAAAGCATCCGGCTCTCACCATGTGGCGATGTGAGCGCCACACTCGAAAGAAAAAGAATACTCAAGCCCTGCATAGGAAAGCTGGCGATCCACGACAGCACGGCGAGGATTAGTGCCCACAGCGCGATGAGTGTAGAGGAGTACGACACCTCTATCCGAAGGGCGGGGTAGATCATCATTGCCACGGTGCACTATCAACAATTAATAAATGCCCTTTTTTTTATGTTTTTACTCCTCCTCCTTTCTTTTTTCGTCTGTGTGTGTGTGTGTGTGTGTGTGTGCGGGCGCAAGTAGACGGAGTACGTCCGTGGCAGAGCTCAAACCGCCTATTCTTCCGCCTTTAGTTATGTACTAATGTCCTGTTTTAATATTATACTGCAGTGTAGAATCCACCCTCCAAGAAAAAAAAAACTCACGGTGAGAGAGAGACACAAGAGATAGATTCATGAACACACACAGACACAAGTTTCATTGGTGAACCCCACATTGCAAAGACAAACACAGAGACCTACACACGCCACGGCGCTGATGGCGTCTCTTAAACCCTCCGATTTTTACCCTTTTGTAAAGTTTACCGTCTGAAGATCGAGGGATGGTGGTGCTCGTCTCCACGGCGTGCGGCCGCCATGCTGTCGCCCAGCTCCTCCAAGTCTTGTATCGCCTGCCGTAGCGCGAACTCAACAAAATCGGGCGTCAGTCGGTTCCCGTCGCTTGTCCGCTCCGTTGCCGATTCAGCGACGAGGTGCTGCACCTGATCCACGATGGCCTTGCGCAGCCGCACAGCTGCTGGGAGGTCTTTGTTCCCGTACAGATCCTTCTTGTCATAGTCCTCATGGGGGAAACGCTCAAAGAAGACGTTTACACTGATGCAGTAGCTTTCCCCCACCGTAGTGATGTGGTGGAACCAGAGCGATGGAATGAATAGCATATCGCCCGGCTCTAACACCACCTCCAAGGCATGACGGCACGCATCGGCAAAACGTGGAAATCGCACTAGATCCGGTGCGTCGATATTCAGCACAGCTGACGAGCTGCCGCTCATGTAGAGATTGTTATACTCACTGGGAGGAAAGAGAACCACACGCTTCTTGCCGACAACCTGGCAAAGAACATTGTCAAGGGTATCGTAGTGTGTCCACAGCTGAAGCGGTGGTGTACTGAGGCGCAGGCAGGCCTGGTGCATGCGCGGCTCAATGTACTCCGCGGCTGCTGGTGGAAGCAAGAAATCATTCTTCAGCCCCGGAAAATCACGCCAGACGTTCGCTCGCTCGCTCTTCATGTTTGCTGCCACCGCGCGCAGGTACCACATCTCCGAATTCGCTTTCGGTGGCTTCGCCTCCACCGCAGCCACACAGTGGTCCACGAGCGCAGCGAAATTGACATGCCGGAACGTGAAGTTTTTCTTCACAAAGTCGAGCAGGTGCGTTTCACGGGCAACGTGGACGGAAACCGTCGTGTCCCCCTCCACTTGCTTCAGATACGCCGGGTCGCACCACGAATTCACGCAGCGGCCCATCTGGACCTTGCGAAATACGATAGGCTTGGTTGGTTGTCGCACGAGCGCCAGGAAAGCCTCGCTGCTAAACTCCCATGCCTCAACAGCGGGTCGCATGAGCGGCAGGAGTGACTCCGAGGCGTCTCCGCGCAACGCCGTTGCTGTCTTGCATCGCTTGGCCAGGTGCCAGCTGGTTTTCTCTCCGAGGAGCAGCAGCGACGGCTTAGCCGCGAAGGTGCCGAACGAAAAACAGGTGAAGCCACCGCCGAGCACCGCGACGACACCACCGTCAAGCATGACGCAGGAGTGGCGGGTCCACGTCGGGCATTCGGCGGGCAGCTTTAGCACAGACACCGTCTCCCCGGTGGCGGCGTCCAGCAGCAGTGCCGGCTGGAACTCTTCGCGCGCGCGGCACGCGGAGCCGCCGAGAACAAGTACCCGCTTTGTACCGTCAACACACACGTGGCACATTGTGTGCGAGAAGCGTGGAGACATGACGTGGGACACTTTGCGGCACACACCTGTGGCCCAGTCGATGCGCCACGCCGCGCCCACGCAGTCATCGCCTGTCACAAGGCCGCCACTGAGAAGCACAGTGTTCGTCGCGCGCAGCGGAATCACTGCGCTGGAGCAGCAAGGCGGTGGAGTGTCCCCCGTCAAGGACAGACGTCCCCAACGGATTGTCCCGTCTTCAATAGTCGCCATCCACGCGTCGTCCAAGAGACAGCCGTTAGCATTGCGGCCACCAAAGACAAAGATGCGTTGCAGCTCTTGTTCTTTTGCTTCTGATTTACCAGTTTTTAATGTGGCATTGAGGTTCTCCACAACAGCCACCGCGGCATGGCGGTATCGGCCCTCCGGCAGTTGCGTACTCTCGGGTGACGGTGCAAGCCTCGTCCATACTGCTCCCACATGTGTCTTCTGCTGCTGCTGCTGCTGCTGTGGCAAGTCGAGTTGCAGCAGGTACGCGTCCATCGTCACATCCTTCGGGTTCGTGCGACCGCCGAGGACAACATAGACTCCATGTGCCACACGACTCAGCGAATGGAACACGAGGGCTGGTGGCTCAATGCTCGATGCCGCATGGGTGACCTTGTACTCGCCATCGCGAAGGCTGTGAACGTATACTGTGTTGACCCGCTGGTGGCTCCGTGTCGCGGCAAAGCCGCCAAACGATACAATAACAACATCGCCGTCCGGCAGTTCCTCTGCGAACGCATGCCCGTTACCCCACCCTTCAAAGCCAAACCGACCGGTTGGCCATTTTTCGATGCGTACAGCAACACACCCCGCCCCGCGTGGTGCCGTCTTTTCTTCGGCTACTGCCGCTTCTGTTTCTGTTCCTTTCATGAATGACGGGTGATCAGGCATGCCAACTTCACGCGACGTGGAAGCCATTGTGATGCCGTAATGCTCGCACATCTCGCTCCATTCTTCGACCTCGTCAAACGGCTCCAGCGCCTCTACACGTTGCTTCTCTTCACCTACCAAGTAGTGACGCGAAAGATCATGGAAGTTCGCGAAACACACCTGATGCATGCCTTGAGCGACACCTCGGCGAAGCATTGCCGCCCTGTTTGGGCATTCCGCAAGTCCCAGAAGTGGGCTACCCTTCGCTCGAAGGGAGAGCTGCATCACCTCGCCAAAGCTGTCCGCCGGGGAAACCTGGTCGTATGCAACAAAGATGGCGCTTGAAAAGGATGTAGCTATGCGCTTTATAAGCTCCGCAGCTGCTGTTGGGGGCATGTACTGCATGACACACTCGGCAAAAAGAACAGTGGGATGTGCTGAGGAGAAGTGCGGCGAGGCGGCGGTCAGGCTCCTGATGAGGTCCCGTTCCTTGTCGCGCAAGTCCACGCCGACGGCGTGGTAGTTGTCGCCTCGGAGTTTCACCAACTCGTGTTCCGGCTCTGCAACAACATCAGCAGGGAAGGCGCCCCGCGGCGCCGCCCGCACCAGTTCCGCCTTGGCCTGCATGACAGCCGGGAAGTCTACCTCGTAGAAGTACACATTGGCGTAGGTGGGCTGCGCCTTCAGCCGCAGCGCGAGCGTGTCATAACCGGCGCCAAGGGAGATGACCTGCACGGGCGTTGCATCGGCGCCGCGCCTCACAACACCCTGCAGGTGACGAATGCAGCGCTCCACCACGTCGGTGATGACCAGCATGCGGAGGTAGTACCCGCGGTTGATGAGCGGCGAGCGTCGGAAAAATTTCCGTACAAAGTGACGCAGATAAGGGTCATTGATGTAATTGTGATACACCGCAGAACGCTTACTCACGACGCTGTCATCGTTCGTGCGCTGAACAGCAGTGTCCAGGCTGCCGTCGTCGTCTGCTGATGTGGAGTTGCCGTGCTTATTTGGGGATTTCATTCGATGCATGCAAGCCTACTTCAACTTGCTACCACTAATGACGGCAGTGACAGTGCGAAGAGAAGGTACAGGGAATGGTGCGGCAGAGAAAGAAATAAAGAGAAGGAGAGATACAACAAGGAGCATTTACTGTGCTTCAACGTACATAATATATATATATATATATTATGCACGTGTAGACACATAAATACAGAGAGAGAAGTGTAGGAAGGGAAGATTGCGTTGACGCTTAACAGAGAGCGCAAAGATGCACTCACCGGGAGTGAATGATATTTTTGTGACGAGCATGTCTACACGACACCACCACCACCAACACAAACAGCAGCAGCTTTCAGCTCCATTGCTTCCGAATCGAGCGACGAGGAGGCGTCGGTGTGAGTGTGAATGTCGGCGTCGGTGCCGGACGCACCAAGTTCAGCGTCGACCTCCACTTCCTCCCCTCCACTCTCGCTTCTGCTGGGCGCACATCCCTTCCATTTCAGCACCGTCTGCGCCAGTTCCAGCTTTCCTGCCTTGAGCAGAAGGGAGCTGAGCGTCACACTCGTGTTGCGCGTAAGGCTGTACCCCCGCTCCTCCATCTGCGTTAGGAGCGTCGCCACCTTGGTGTGCTCGGCCGCCCGCGCAAAGGCGGCGACGCAGATGTTGTAGATAAACTGGGTCTTTGGCAGCTTTTCTGTATCAAGCAGCTCCTGTAGCCGTACCGTGTCCCGCATCTTTGCGTACAAGATGTAGACAGACTCCACATCGCGTTGGCGGCAGTCGGGGTGGGAGAGCAGCAGGGAGACGTAGTGCTCCATCTTTGGCAGGTCGCCAATGTAGCTGAAGGACGTGGCCACTGTTGCCAGCATGCGACTCGTGAAGGGCACACCGCTCTCAACCATCTCCTCTACGAGCTTTGCCGTCTCCTCCACCATACGTGCACGTGAGTAGATGTTGAGGAGACCAACGTAGCCAAACTCCTCCATCGGGATTTGCTTGCTTTTACGCTCCTCCACCAGCTCCTTAATGTGCTCATACCGCTTTGCACGTCCATAACCCTCAACGAGAATGTTGAACGTGACATGATTATCGCACAACCCCTCCTCCTTCATTTTGGCACGCATCGCCTCCATCTTGGCAACATCGCCGCTCTTGGCGTAGGCGTTCATCGCCTGGTGGTACGTCACCTGTGTCGGCGCCGCATTGGTGGAGCGCGACATCTCTTCCAGAACTGACTCCATCTCACCAAGGCGGCCCATCTTGCCAAGCATGTCCACCACCGTCGTGGCTGTGACAGGGTTTGGCGGCACGAGCCTCATCATAGTGTTGAGTATCTGCTGCACCATTTCCACATTGTTGTTGGCCATGTAGAGATCAAGGAACTTGTTGTACACTGGCATTGTGATAGTCACCTTAGACTGTAGGAGATCGTTCCAGCACTCATCTATCCCTTGTGCATCACCAAGACGGGCGAATGCGGCAGCAGCTATGGCAAAGAACAATGGTGTGCGCACCGCATCGTTCATGAGGGCTTCATGAAAGTACTGCTTGACGCCATCAAGGTCATTGAAGTGGCCCAGTGCCGTCACCACAACACCAAAGATGCGTTCATTGATCTTGACACGGTTTTCATGCATATCCTTAAGGAGAGCGTTAAAGGCACGGCGGTCCCGCCGCTTCGAGGCGTCGCGGAGGAGAACGCGGTACATGTCCGGCGACTTGTACGGCAGGCGAGAGACCAATGCGTGGAGGTCTGTGTAGCGGTCATGGATTGAATAGTACTGTACAATCTCTGCTTGTACCATTTCACTAGCCAGCAACCCGTAATTCTCCGCCTCACGTATGATTGACTCACATCGGTCCGTGTCGTGCTGATACGACTTTAGCAGTTGCACCACGACAGCTGGGGAGAAGGCAGCGGTGCTACCAGAAGCTGCCTTGCTCTTGATCTCGCGGTAGAGCTGCTCCACCATGGAGAGATCCTGCAGCTCTCCAAACACACGCAGGAGTGTGGGGTACATGAAGGCCTCAATCTGAATCCCCTTGCTGCGCATCTCATTCATGTACTTCTCAACCATGCGGGGGTAGTACTTATCCAGGACGCGGAAGACATGCTGGTAAGTCTGGGAGGTGTGGAAGATATGTTTCTCTCGCATCTCTTCTTTCAAGGCAATTACCTCCTTAAGGTTATACGCGTGTGCGTACCAGCGGAGCATCTCGTCATAGAGTCGGTGGTCCCGCACCACACCTGCATCGTTGAGTCGATTGAAGCAGCGCTTCATATCGTCGAAGCGGCCCAGCACGCCATACCCTTTGATCAGTGACAGCAGGTACGACGGCTCTAGATCCTCAGCGGTGTCGTTCGCAACGCACTCCTCTACAACATTCTCCAAATGCAACACCTTTTGCAGCATCACATCATCACTCGCCTTCTGACTCCGTGACAGTATCTCGCTGCACTTTGCAATCACCGCCGTCTCCGCCGCCATGCCGAGCGATGCTACGGCGAGGTCGCGGCGAAGCGCCGCCTCCGCCTCATACACCGCCGCCACGGTGCGGACGCTCTGCAGACGGGACCGCATTAGCGCACCCACCGCCTGCTCGGACAACACGGCATTGTGTTGACTCGCCATGTCTTTCAGATCCTCCATCATGCCGACATCACCGCGGATCGCAACGATGCCGGTGGAGAATAGCGCGTCGAGGTCGAGACGCTGGCGGCACGATGCGTCTGCCGTCGAGAGGCGCCGCATGAGCGCCATGATGTCATCATACTTCGCCGTCATGCCGTACGCCTCGATGAGTGCGGCGTAATCGGCAGTAGTGAGCTTCCCCTCTGGGATCTCCTGCAGCAGCGCGTGGGCCTCGGCGTTGTGCCCGGCGAATTGGTACGCGAGAACCGCTAGCATCCTAAGCGATTCATCGCCGCGCAGCTCATCCGCCATGTTCTTCATGAGATCCTTGGCGTTGTCAACACGGTACGAGTCAAAGAGATGCTTTACCAACTGGAAGCCCACCGTCATGCCGTACTTGCGAAACCGAATCGAGGCGCGGAACAGCAGGTGGGCCATGTCCCCCTGACGCAGCTCAACACACTCCTTCATGAGGCTCTCCGTCAGCGCCGACGCGTCCGCCGGGGAGATCTCGCCCCTCTGCAGCTTGGACTGCAGGACTATCATCAAGAAGGTCACGCTGTTGCGAAACTGCGTGATCCTGCGCCGCGAGCGGAGCATCGACTGACGCACGTAGCGGGCGACATGCCGCGGCTTTGATGTGAGGATCGCCACCAACTGCGCCTCGTCTTCCGAGGAGAAGGGACGGTAGTGTCCGCCGCGCGATCCCTGCGGTAGGCACCGCGTCGACGCGATTGGGCGTAGCTGCAGCCGCAGCGCACCGCAGGCTGCCGGCCGCAGAAGGCACAGACCCCGCCGCACAAGCTCCATGTGGCTCCCCGGACACACACGCACACGCAAAGAGAGAGAGAGATATAGAGAGAGGGAGAGGGAGAAGCAAACAACCACAAACTTAACGCGGGGTAAGATGTCTTGTCACGTCACCCTTCACAACGCGACGCCCTTTTTTTGGCTACTCTCTCTTGCACTTTCTCGCTCACTCTTCTTTTTTTTTCCCTTTTAGATGGTTGTGACCTCTCCCTTCGCGTCACAGACTTCTTCTCCCCTATTAAGCGCACATGGTGGTGGTTGGGGGCAAAAAGAGGAGGGAATGGCGAGAAGGCAAACAAAAAAGAACATTCATGTGAGATGAGACTTCGGAACAATGGCTGTTGCTCACACCTCGTTCCTAACATTTACGAATAACAAATGCGGTAAGTGAGCACCCAATCAATGCAACAATACAATACCTTGATGAGTGAAGCAATTTTTTTTCTTTTACAGGGAACCTTGACGTGAACACACCCAAAAAACAATACGCACAGCACAAGAAGCCCGCCCCCCTCCTTCACTGCGGATCCGGTTACATACTGCTGATATCGTTCGTCTATTCTGTCTTATTACTCTATGGAAGTCGCTGGTACTCTCCTTTACGCGGCCCCATTTTCATTTGGTATTTCATGCATTTCATCTTCGCCAGGAGTGCCGAGTGGGGCAGAGTGGTATTGCCCGTTTCCAATAGACGAACCGAAGTCCTCCAGCGTCACTGTTACCCGGCTCTCCTCCGTCCAGTGCGTCAGACGATATGCCATGTTGCGGAGACAGTGACAGAACAAACGTCCAGTGCCCATCCGATGGCCGCCGAAGCCGTGAACCGCAGCAGAAAGCGCCGTGAACTCTTCCCGCCCCCCAAAACAGTACTCATACCTCACGGCATATCCCCCACCCTTGTTTTCCTCGCGAATCAGTTGCTGGTACTGATGCGGGTACACACATGGGTGCCCACGGACGAGTGCAACAATAAATTCATTGTCTAGCCACATATTATTCTCGTCGGCCAAAGCTTCTCGAACAGCTCCAACGAGCGTGGTGAAACACTGGGTGCTGCGCAAATCCTCGTAGAATGACAAGTCTTTATCACTATGTTGTGAAAACGTACCGATTATTGTGCCACCGATCCCAAGATCACCCAATAAACTCGCGTAATATGTTAGAAAAAGGCTACACAAGTCACACACTGTATGCCCACGTGAATCTCGCATTTTCAGTGTACTATAGCCAATTCGAAGGGCACTGAATGCACCTGATTTGGGTAGCGTATGCTTTTTCTCGCAATGGTAGTGCACTCCCTCGCATATTCCAGATGAACCTAGATAAATCATGACGTACTGCTCGATTGGCACCTTCGCCACGAGCGGGAGTTGTGAGGTAAGTATGCCAACAAGATATGGTGGGGGAGCCGCCAACACCTCAAGGAGGCTGGTTGGCAAAATTGGGATTAATATATGCATCCAGTCAAATGGTGAGATCAATGTCTGCAGTGCCATTACCACATGAGAGACAATACCAAAATTTGGACCAACCACAATAATATGCTTCTCAAGCAGCAGATCCGCCAGCACAGAGAAGAGAGTGCTTGTATCCGAAAATATATCAAGCAGATCGAGTGGAGACGTGTCAATAAAGGGACACAGTCGATCATACGGTCTCTGAAATAGGACGAGGATACTAGAAGGGGTTTGAAAACTGCCTCCCGACGGTGGCGTTGGGCATCCGTAAAGTGCCTTAACAAACTTCTTACCGTTCTCGTACCCATTGGTACGAAAAAGCAATGCGAGGCGTGTAAAGAAGCGACACCAAGGGTAAGGTGAAAGACTAACGACGGCTTCACCATTTACAAAAACAGTACAATGCCCATATACACGCACTCCGTGACCATCTGTGAGCACGAAGGTGTGACTGAGGTCCTCCACAGAGTACGAGGTGCCTGAACTGGAGAAGACAAACTGCGTCATCATCGGGTACTTTGCTTCCACGAATTCGAGGGTATGCGGGTACGACCATACCTCCTCCACCGCCTGCCCTTCTTTGCGTAGGATGAGAAAAAAAAGCAGGCAGCTCCCCTCATGGCCACTGCAGCTGAAAAGATGTGGGGACAACTGCGGCATACTCGGCGTCTCCTTTCCCCCACTGTCTATTTGCGCATTTGGATTGTGCTCATGATGAACGGCTACTTCGCTATCTAGTTGCATACTTGCAGTTTCCATGTAAACCCCTTTCGCAGAGAGAATACACTTACCACTTTACAATGGGGTTTCTAGATAATGGATAGCTGGACCACGCTGATATGTATAAAAAGTACACAATGAACGACACCCATGCAGTCCTAACAACAATACATAAATTAGCCAGAGATAGAAGGAAAGAGAAATCAATGCTGAAGTGAAACCCTTCTGCTTGGCGAATAAATGAGTGTGACTTACTCAAACAAACAAAAAACGAACAGAAAACCGGCCATGCCTCGATACAACAACACATTCAAACAGAGCTACAACATCCACAACCGCAACATATCCCACCACCATTTTTTTTTTGTAATGTGCCGCCCTTCAAGAGGTAATCATTTTCTTTTCTTCTTTTGCTAATTGTTCTGCCTCACTCTGGGCCTCCTCAATATACACCACAATTTGCGTGTTCATCGGGTGATCATCGCGCCCCTTCTCGAGGAGGTGCACCGCTTCTGCCGGTTTCTTCAACATGCGCAACGCAAACGCCCCATGAATGTAGCCTTGTATGTTCCCTGACGCCTCCACCGCCAAGTTTGCACACTCCAGTGCCTCTGTGTATTTTTTCTGATGAACAAGGATCCCAGCCTTCATGCCAAGTAGACCACCCAAGCGTGACTGCTCCACAACATGGCTGATGGCCAAATCCACACAACGCACGGCGTTGTTCAAGTCTCCATACTGCACGTTAGCGAGGGCCATGGCGGACATCACCCTGATAAACAGAGTAATATCCATCGGCTCATGCTCCTCCCGTGAGGCCATAATAACCGGGCCAGATTTCGAGGTGGCCACAGACGACGACAACATCGTCGCCGTATCGGTTCCGCGAGTGGGGTCGTCGTGCGGCGCTTCTGCCCTCTTCTCCTCACCACCATTATCCGTTCTGGACTTCTCAGCTTTAGACCTGACAGAACAGCCATTTTTCTCCACTTCATCCACAAGGCTGCGGAAGTTGTCAGCAAAGTTAGCCACGAGCTCGTGCAGCTGCTGTCCACCACTCATTGTGGAGCTTGGGTACAGCAGATAGCTCAACGTACGTTGAGCAATAACGTCCTTAGAGCCGTATTCCTGCAGTATCTTGTTGAGGTGAGGTGCAATACTCGGTGTTGGACTTTTGTTCTCAATCTCGGAAAGCACCTTGTGCCCCAAATCCACAATTACGTCGCGGGAGGTGCTCTCCTCCAGCACAGCACGTTGTTCCTGGAGGCTCTCGTCAATCACCTCTGGCACATACTCCTTGATGCGCTCATCACGGGTACGCGGCTTGTTCCACAACGATGTGAAGAAGTTGTTTTTGCCAGAGTTGATATTCTGCAGGAATCCTGCACAAACCTTTAGGGTTTGGCGCATTGCTACCCTTTGAGGGACGAAAAATGCAAGAAAATTTCGAAAATTCACAAAAAGCAACAGAGTAAAGGAGAAATGTAGCGACTGGCGGCGAAACAAACACTCTTCACTTACACGCGTGGATACCGCTCCTGCCTTGGGGCGAGAGATCGGCCGGAGGTGTCGCGGAATGGAGCTGCAGAGAACGGGAGACCTCACAAGTATCTGTGAAGACATGTATGCACAGGCCAAATGAAGGAGACGCTACCATAGAAACATCGGCAGGCCTTACATTCAACCGTGGATCTGTCACGGCTGCACACACAGAGAGAGAAAGAGAGAGGGAGAAAAAGAGCTAGAAAAGATGTACTCTCACCAACACTGAATAACTTCAACGGCGATTATGGTACGACCGTGAAGGACCTAAGGATGGTTGTGTACACATGGCTATTACTGAGATGATTCTATCAGGCGAGAGGGGAGAGGGAAAGCAGACATGCACACGCGTGCCGTTGTTGGCCAAATGAAGCGGGCAAATCAAACACATCCATAGTGACACCCCTTCAATGATTGACTCTGCACCGCAAGGCAAAGGGAAGAACAGGGTTTACTGAGGATCAACGCGTGAATACCAAATTGTTTCCAGAGGAGCATTTCCACATTTTGCTTTAGGCAATATATATATATATATATATATCCTTTATACTGCAGAGACCCACACTACACCTACGAATGCCGCTGGTGGAGCTCAGCCCTTATTCTTTCCAGAAGCAACTCTTGCATCACCTCTTGGGGCCTTGCAGCCGTCTCCACGGAGTACGTTACGAGATAAACAGGCAGCATCTCTTCAGCTGCACTATCCGGCGGGCCGACACCTGGCGATACACACGCACTGCTGTCGACACTAAGCTCTCCATTGAAGCTGCACGCATCATGTGGGTTTGGTGTAAAGCTGCCGTCCCACCTCTCGTCGATGCGGCAGAGCCGCATACCACCACCTCTACTCGCAAGGGTTTGGAGCTGCTCCGCCTCAATGGCCTTCAGTCGGCGCATCACCCACTCCACAGCGACGGCATCATCGTTCCTGTGGGTGGACGGAAGCATGGCGAGACGTGCTGACACAAAACGCTCCACCGTGAACTGACGCGACGCTTCGTCAGACGTCACGTGAAAAGCCACAACAATGGCGCCGTGGCGCCGCTGGAACTCTGGTAGAAGATACTCTCGGTAAAGGGCGAGGTTGAGGAGACTGCCCTCCACGAGAAGGACTTTTCCCTCCGTCAGCGCCTTCTGTAGCTCCTCTACGACGAGCGGGTGAAGAGCCTCCGCCCACGCACGCCAGAGGCAAATGAACTCTTCCTCCGTTTCCGTCTCACGAAGCCACAGCGCCCGCTCGTCTGGTTGTGGCCACGTGCGACCAAAGTCAAATTCCCCATCACCTGTGGTGCTCGCTGTGGGAAAATTATTGTGGATCGCAGTGAGAATATCGAGCAACACATCCGTGCTAACAACATTGTGGGTGTTGAGCTTAGAGCTGAGGCTATGCGCAATGGCGGTCTTGCCACAACAACCGCTCCCAGCGATGAGGATAACGAGGGGAACTCGCTCAATGTAGAAGCGCGTCATCAGTGGAAAGAGTCGCGCATGCGCCTCACCGTACCCGTACTGCGCCATCGTGCAGAATGTAGCAGTCTCCAGTTCCGCCTGCGTTATTTCAAGTTTCTCTTGATCGACAAAGAATTTCTTGAGCGCCAAGCTCACACGCGCGGCCGCGGTTGTTGGAAGTTTACAGAATGTCAGCATCTTCGAGAGAAGGAAGCGTGACAGTATGTAGTAGTGCTCGCCACCAAGGTGCACTTTTATCTTAACGCGATCATACTTGGAACTCATGCGCACCCTTTATTCCCTTGCGGGTTCCCGTGTGCGCCGATTTCTGATCTTTATTCTCACTACAACACACCACCACTGATGGCCTCGGGAGAAACAAGAAGCAAAAAAATACACATGCGGCTGCAGAGGTGCAGTGATCGTTAAAGAAGATAATCCTTTTCTTTGATTACTCCCACACTTAATAAATGACTCTTGCCATTGCAGCAGCAACTGCTTTTCATACCGAAACGTCCGTTTTGCCTATATGGCGTGGGAAACTTTCCCAATAAAACAAGGGAACCCACCGTGTTAGCGGGGGATAGCAAATATAACCCAAATCATTGCCTCCCACCCCCCATTCAGAATACAACGGGCATTGTCGAGCTAACAAAATGCACCAACATGCAATCATCAGCTCATTTTATCAGTAAGAACGCATCGCCTCTCCACCACATTCTACACGTTGCTTCACGGCCGCGCTGACCTTAGTGGAGTCGATGGGAAACCGCTACCGCACCCCATGCAGAACCAACCGACGCGTGCACCACTACCCTGAAGATAAATGGAAGCCTTCCCACTCATCTGAACAATTATTTCATGCCCGCTTGCTACATGGAGATGGGTGATCTGTACAACATGGACGTTTTTATGATGTACAACAGACCCTGAAATAGCACACCGCCACACCACAGGCCGACAAAAATCATTACACAGACGTGCCTTCGAAAAATCACCTGACCTTACGAAACTGGATTCGTTGCCTTACCGCTCAATATTTCCGTCGTTGGTGTGCTTGTGTTTGTATATATTCCCACGTGTGTGCTGCCCCCTGCATCCGTCGTGGGGAACAGGAGCACACACCCACCCTCAAAGATAGACAACACAGCGCCCAGAGCCAGGTGCCAGCGAAAAGCACCCCGGAAGAACGAATGCAACGGCCTTTGGGTCAGCTGCCCTTGTTTGCCCCGCGGTGCTCGGCGTTAGCGCCCAGGCTGCGAGTTGAACTCATCGCCCCACCGTCAACTATACTCACCAGAGCAATCTCGGTGCGATTTGAGGGCTTTCACTCCCAAGATGTATTGCATGCAAACCACTGCTGTTCGGTGTGATGCGGAGCAGGAAGGGGGCACGTGTGGCGCCACACCCTTGTGCTAGAATGCCAACAGCATCCCACAACACAGCATAAGCAAGTAAAATAAAGCAAGTTAAAGGTATGACCACGCAAAGACAAGCTTCTCTTATGTAGTAGAAAACCATAAAGGTATAAGCAAATCCCTCAATTACATTACCTCAGATGCCGACGATCACATATAAACCTAATCAGCCCTTTTCTATTCCGCCTAAAACGATAAGGACCAGGGGCGACATCCTTCCCGAAGCGCCTCATAAACATACTGTACTCGCTCTCCCACAGATGGTGCACCACGACGGAATATTGCGTTACTGGACGGATTGGAATACCCACGTGCACGTTATGAAAACGACACCACCCCTCCAAGGCCACCACCAGATTCGGATACCTCGTTTCAGCCAGCACACGGCCCACCATCATGTCCTCGTGGTTCATATTGAGCGAGAAGAACTCCGCCTCGCGCTCCCTGCTGTACGGCAGATGCACCAGACGCTGCAGCGGCTTATATGACACAAACTGGTGCACCACATCCCTCGCCAGTGTCATGCACGTTCCCGCAGCGTACCGAAACCTGAACTTAGTTTCGCCTCTTTGCACCGTTGAGCGCACAAAGAACCCCCAATACAGCCCATGACGCGGCAGCGAGCGCAGGTCAGCAAGGTACTGCGGCACACGGATGAACATGTCGTCATCGCCTTTCGCAATGTAGCTCACATTCGGAAACATGCGGTACGCCAGGTCAAACCACATAAAAGTCTTACGGCTCATTCCAATTTCCGCCTCGTTGCCCCAGAAGCCGCGACCACCGACCCTCTTGGTTGTTGTGGGGCTTCCTTCATTCATCGCCAGCGTAACAACATCGTGCCACTCCGCCACCTCCTTCAGCGCTTCCGCTGAGTATGTGTAGTTGTGCAACGGGTGCTGCGCAAGCACGTACAACACCAGCATCGCACCACTGAAGTTATTCCTCCGCGTCGCCACACCAGGGAACTGCCAGCATGTCGAACGCTGCAAGTCGCGGCGCCTACGCCGTTCATCCAGATCCACCGATGGGATACCGAACACGATCAAGAAGTCACGCTCTCCCCACCCGAGCACAACATGGGAAGGGACGTGGAGGAAGGCCACACCGGCTGTGGCGTTCTGCGGTTCTGGGGGTGGCGCCGGCAGCGTCGTCTCCACCGTGAAGACGGGCATCAGTCCCTCAAAGCACTCGGTAAACAGACTCAGGGCAGCAACCAGAGCAGTCAGTGTGATGCATGCTCGTGGCGAACATATCCTTCTGAGGCCCATACCTACCTTCCAGAGAGGGAAGAAAGTTTGCACCAGGGATACCCAGCGTGTAAGGCAATTGATTCATCCACCCCTCTGCGAGTCAAAGGACAAACCAAGCCACCTCAGGGGGCATACCCATGAACCACATTAAGCAATACACAACCCAGAAGGCCGCAAAACGAAAAAAGTGTTGAAAACAAACACGAAACAAACCCAGAGCTCTTCGGCAGACACCTGCCATAGAGCAGTTGCTCCGTTGCACCCCATGACCCAATATTTCCGTCGTTGGTGTGCTTGTGTTTGTATATATTCCTACGTGTATGCTGCCCCCTGCACCCGTCGTGGGGAACAGGAGCACCCACCCACCCTCAAAGATAGACAACACAGCGCCCAGAGCCAGGTGCCAGCGAAAAGCACCCCGGAAGAACGAATGCAACGGCCTTTGGGTCAGCTGCCCTTGTTTGCCCCGCGGTGCTTGGCGTCAGCGCCCAGGGTGCGAGTCGAACTCATCGCCCCACCGGCAACTATACTCACCAGAGCAATCTCGGTGCGCCTTGGGTGACAAAACGAGTGATGGGTACACGCGTTCTCTTGTGGCTGGTACGATAACATATGCAGGAGGTGACCACTAGAAATGTCTCAACGAGCGTGCTTCCATATTGACGCACAATGCCCTTGTGTTTGGCTCTATTTGTGCGGAGACCCGTATGTGCGAATAGTGCCCACCTACGAAAAAAAAAATTGGAGAGTACGTTTTACTTTGAGAGACAAGAGTAGAATGATTTAAAAAGGACTACGTGCCTTTACAATTTCCAGTACTCGCCTTTGGCATGCTCTCTAAGACCAAGATGAAATAAGAGCAATGTCTTAGACGTTAAATCAATAATAATACCTTTCATATGGTTCCGCGCTGTGGCACCCTTCTTTGTGTATATGGTAAAGCTGAGGCCTCTGTTTCCGCGCTGATTGGAGAATGCTCCGTTTCCTTGACCCCGAGACTGATAGTGGCCTGCAAGGCGTGCCCGATATCGGCAATAACAACAATGTGAGTATCGTCGGGCTAGATTCTGAGAAGGGACTGAACAGATTCTCCCCTGTGCCCATAACGGCTCATTTGATGAGGGGGAAAAACGGCAACTCCTGCAGCTTCATCGACAATCCTGCAGGTCTGCCACGCGACGACAGCGTCGAAGTGTACAGTAGAGAAAATGAGGGAAACAAAACACCAAGGAGGCGCCAGGCTCCATTCAACAATTGATGAGGGAGCTGGAAACGGTTACTGATGCACACATTCCGCCTGCTGGGACCCTGGTTTGTCACGACGCTGTCTGCCGCCTCCACGACCCTGTCTGCCGCCCTCTTGCGCACCCCACTTCTCACGCATTGTCTCCTCCAACTCATGTGCGCTTTCGCGAATCACACGAGCAGTGACCATTTTGTCTTCGGATGCATCAGGTACTTTATGCGGTTCTCCAAAGGCACTCTCAATAGCTTCGCGCTGTTGTTTTGTGAGTTTTTGTGGCACCTTCAGTCGTTTGATGATGTAAAGATCACCGCGCCCACCGTTGGAACTTGGCATTCCTTCCCCAGACAACTTCAAAACACTGTCTGGTTTAAGAACTGTATCACCCGGCACCTTCACCGTGAGGTGACGACCATCCAGCATCTTAATTGACATATGTAGTCCCAGGAGAGCTTCTGAAAGAGAGACTTCTTTCGTCATTAATAGGTCATCACCACGACGCGTGAATATCTTATGGTGTGCCACTTCGATTTGTACGTGCAGATCACCTGGCTCTGCGTCGGGCATTGTGCCACCCTCACCGCAAACCACCAGTGTAACGTCTGCGGGCACACCAGCAGGAATTTCGATGTTCACATCTTGCGCAAGGTGGCGGTAGCCGAGTCCACGGCACTTTGGGCACTGATCTTCCGCCTTCGCCATGGTGCCTGATCCACCACACCGAGGACACTGAGAGACTGTCTGTTGTACCATACCAGGCCCCATACGGTGTTGATGCACGACATGACCGCTACCGTCGCAGTGTGTGCACTTGGGCTTCTTTGTTTGGCTCTTCGTGCCGAAGCCACGGCAGTCTGAACAAATCGCCGGTCGGTTTATCCGAGGCGACTTGGTCACACCCTTGTAGATCTCCTCCAGCGTCAGGCGCAGCTTAACAGCTATGGGTGGTACTTGCGGCGGTCCACGATTCATTTCACCAAAACCGCCCATCCCACCCTTGAAGAACTCGGCGAATATGTCCTCTGCAGAACGGCCATTGAAGCCGCCCATGCCACCTTCTGCGCCCATGTGGGAAGCTGCTTCCGAGCCGTACTGATCATACACACGACGTTTCTCTTCATTGCTAAGACACTCATACGCCTCTGCAACCTCGGCAAAATCCTCCTTTTTCCCGCCCTGGTCTGGGTGCGTCTCGAGAGCCCGCTTGCGATACGCCTTCTTGATATCGCTTGGTGACGCCGACCGACTCACCCCAAGTGTCTTGTAGTAATCCTTCTCTTGACTGCTCACCAACCGCAACGACACACCTGGTAGAGCGGTCGTAACGCTTGCTGCTGCTGCAGTCACTGATGCAAAGCGGCGCCACAGCATCGATGGAGAGGTAAAACGGAACATGGGTCTCCACTATTCTGTAAAGAGTAATCCAAAGGCTAAGCTAAAAGAGAAAAAACTACACAGTTTTTTTTTCTTGAGTTAGTATTCCCTCTTACCCGCGTCTAGTGTAAACAAGGAAAGTTGTGAATAAGAAGAGGGTATATATATATATATATATATATATATATATCTAAACACCTTAACTGAGTCACCGAGGGAAATGTATATCCTGCCTGTTTCTTTCCGCATCACTTCGATCGAAACATCCCCTCCCCATCCTGAGGGGAACATGTGTCGCCAAAATACTTTTGCTGCCGTAGTTTCTTGTGACAATTCGCGCTACTGTGTGGGCCCCCACAGTGTTTGCAAGGATTTGCCCGGAAGCAACTGGCACTGGTGTGCCCCAGCTGTCCACACTTTTCACACTTAAGAAGCTGTGGGTGCTTCTTAAAGCAATTCCGTGCAGTGTGTCCACTCTCACCACAGAACGAACACTTGGCCTTACCGTTCTGTTTCTTAAAGCATTCAGCTTCCGTGTGCCCTTTGGCACCACAGAAGTGACACACTCCACCCGGTCCTATATAGCGCTCCAGCCACGCAACATTCACTTCCGCCGGCGTGGCGTCGGCCTCCTCTGTGATAGGCTTCCCAATCGCGTAGTGCTCAACGTATTGCGCGGTAAGCCGCTCCACCGACTCCGCGTCGAGTGACCCCTTGCTATTTCCAATAAGGTAGTTTGAGAGCAACAGAATGTGCCGCACATCATCGGCTGCATACTCCAAGAAGTGGTCTGGCAATGGGCGAACATCCCACACAGGGCGGTTTCCCAGTGTCATGGCAGCCTGCACTGCGGAGTCGCCCTCTTGCCTCGTGAGCTTCGCGACATTTTTCAGTACGTACGTCATACCAGAACGGCGGTTTACACTGCGGAGCTTCCATTGAATGGCGGTAAAAAAAAGCTGTAGATCCAAGACCCCTTCTGGCTTAAGCCCTAGTTGGCAACTCAGGGCCTCAACGTCCCGCCTACAGTCAAACAACAGTTTTCGTACCTTTTTATTCACCAGTAAGGGTTGCACACTCTTTACAAAGGTTGGGGCCGTAAGTGTGAGCACATCGAATAGAAAGACTACGGGCTTAGCATCTGAGCAGGCTTGCACAAGTGAAATACGTCCCAGTTGTTTCGCATGTTCCGTCGTGCAGAAAGCCTCAATATCGAGGGCGATCGATCGAGCCTTTAAAAGGGATCCCACCGCTTTCTCTAGTTTCTCTGGTGTGTCGACCACCTCGTATGGGTACTTCAGAATATCCGAGGAGGACGGTGGCGCTGATACTGATGGCAATGATGACTGTGGTTGCGAAGAAGAAATGGCTGCACCTTCACCCAAAGCAGAAGACACAACAGGATTTGTGAGTAGTCGCGACAGCCTCCAGAGTCGCACGGTTCCTACGCGGCGCAGCATATGCTTCAAACTTGCATAAGGAGAGGAGGTAAGGAGAACAAAATATGAAACTTTTTGCGTGACTGCTTCCGCTGCCATAAGTGAGGGCACGCCAAATAGGTAGATAGAGAGAGGACCAGAGAAAACTGGCAAAGAATGGAGCAGCGAACAACACATAATACTGAACTAACGTCACCACCAACACCCCCCTTCCTCAAAAACAACAACAACAAGAGCCACACCAACTCAGTGCTCAGCTCACGCGCAACATCTCCAGGTAGTTCTTTACCATAAAGAGGAACACACCTCCTTCACGAACCGCCTCCTCGGAGGGCCGCTCCTCCACCCACCGTTCGTACGTCTCCGGAGTCGGCGGTGTACCAAAAATGAGACCCTCCGGCTGCAACAGAAGCGACCGCTGCTTATTTGAGTCACGCGGCCCCTCGAAGTGAAGTACAACAAGCGCCGCGTCCAGTCCCGCCTGCTGTTTCACACGCGGGTGAAAAAACAGTCGTCGCCTCAGACGTTCAATGAAGCCACAAGGGTCAAGCGACGACGACAAGATCGGTAGCGAATTGCTGCTGTGGCCGAACCAGACACTACACGGTCGAATGCCCCAAGCCCATTCGTAGCGGGCCTTGCCGTACACACGAAGAGCGCCACCTGAAGGGACAATGGCGTCAATGTCCCGCGATGTCCATGAGCTTTTCAGCACCTCCTGCACGAATGCAAACTTCGACCGCAGCAATGGAGAGAATGTAACGACAGTAGCGTGCTGATCTCGTCGAAGGGGAATCACGACGTAATCGTGTCCGTCAAAGGCTTTCGTTGCCCGGGGCTCACGGTAGAACTTACCACTGGGTGAATACTCCACGTAGACATGGCGAAGGCGACCGACACCACTAAAGGTTCGTTGCGTCTTGTCCACCAGGTAGCGCAGCGCCGATGGCATCATATCGTACTTGATGCGGTCACCCGTTCCCCAAGGTGCCTTAATCAACTGAATGTCTTCGGCGTGGTCGGAGATGATGGTCAAATCGCGGTAGTAGCTCATGTCTACCCCCGCGGCGTGGGCCCTACTTTCGACGAGAGAGACCTTCCGTTGATCGATCTTCTGTCCGAGGCGCGCGGACCAATGCCTTACCTCGTCGAGGAGCACGTGACGTTCATCGGCAGAAATTGCATCGGGGCAAACACAGAGCCCAATGTTATCCTTCACCGTCAAGGGCTCACCTTTCCCCTCGCTTCGATGCGGCGGGGAGACGCGGCGGAAAAAATCCATATCCGTTTCTGTGATCGCGGGGTATATGTTGCCCTCCGCGTCCATCAGCTCCTCTCGCCATTGATACGCTAAACGTTTGCGTGAGGCGATGAAGCCCCCGAAGGCCACAGTGGGAACAGCAATCCCAATAAACAACGTGCCGGCCCCAAGCATACCCAACCACTGCAAAAGAAAGTAAAAAAAAAAAACAAACAAACATCAACAACAACAAAACGGGAACGCAAGCGGTGGCGACGTGCAACTGTGACAAGAAGCGTAGCAGCAGCACCACCACCACCACCAGTGCAGATGTACACATTTCATATACCACTGTCGAAAGCTACAGAGAGCTGAGGAAAAAAAAAAATAATCCTCACACCAAGGTAATGCTGAATAATAAAAAAAAAACGAATCTGCCCACAAGGTAAGTGTGACACGGAGAAGGCTTCTTCAGGAAGTGCCTTGCTCCTTCATATGCTCCTCTGCCCGCTTCACCATTTGCTTCGTGTTGAGGAGCTCAATGTAGTACCCATCAGGGTCCACGATAAACGCCATAAAACCATCTCCGCTATCGTAGTCAATCGGCACGTTCATTTTCTTCAACCGTTCGACCTCCTCCTTCACATCCTCCACGCCAATGGCAATATGCCCGTAAGCCTCACCGTGCTTGTATTCGGTCTGATCATAGTTGTACGTGAGCTCCAGCACTGCCGTCTCGCTCTCCGTGCCGTAGCCAAGGAAAGCCAACGTGAACTTATCCGCTGGACAGTCCCACTTGCGCAGCAGTCGCATGCCAAGGGCCTCCGTGTAGAATTTGATGCTGCGCTCCAGATCGCCCACGCGAATCATTGTATGCAAAAGACGTCGTGTCGGCATGACGCTTGCTCGGTTTTGTCTTCTTTTAAAATTTTAATTTGCTTTTTTTTTTCGAAAATAGACAGAATTGTTAAGCAGTAAAGGGCCTCGTTGAGTTTCCTAGTCCTCCTTCCCCCACCCATCGCAAAGCGAAAGAGAGAGAGGGAGAGGAAGAGAGAACGCGGGACAACAGAGGAGTCGAAGCACACGACGAGAGGAAGAAGACATGAGCAAACAAGTGATCTTAAACATAATGCGAAGGGAATCATGCCCACCCAACATGAATTGCGTCGCTCACTCACAGTGCAAGCAATGATAAAAAAACGAAACAAATTGCGTGTAAGAAGAGCTGCAGCGCTACTTTGGCGTAACACCGCGCTCAGGTGTGTGCTGTCTCGCGAAACGAAGCAGCGCGTTGGACCACTCCATAATTTGCACTCGAGGAGGCACAACTGCCTGAGTGTTGCCATGAAGAACGGGGCTTAGCACACTTATATCTGAAGCAGTCATGTGATTTGCATCACCGCTTCTCTCTGCAACAAACCGAGTGCTTTTCTCTGTTACGCTAAGAGACGCGAATGAAGTCTGCGCCCGGACGGCGTCTGTCACTTGCTGAAAAAAGTCCCAACTGGACTTGTCCTTTACCCACTGCTCCGAATGTATCATGTGTGTTGGGGTCGTGAACTTCATCCTGCCATCAGCAATAGGCTTATAGAAGCACTCGTTCTGAAGCGGCACATGCCATGGATCAAACACAAAGACACTTTGAACAGGGCCCTCCTTTGACACGTGTTCTTCCTGCAGAGCCGTGGCAAGCATCGTCGCACCGCCAAAAGAGTGCCCTGACAGATGCACCCGCAGCGGCTGGCTGAGGTGTCTCTTAATGTCAGATTCCGCGTACCCAAGTGTTCGCCAGAACCCCTCCGTGAGGTGGTTCAGTGTTCCTCGGATTTCCTTCACTCTCTGGACGAGCTGAACCTCGCGCACCGCCGGTTCCCAGTTGAGGTGCTTGAACTCCACCTCATTCCTCTCACTCCCGCTGTCCCGCATGAACGATGCACTACCATCGCCATGCCCGACGGCCACCACGATTGCTCCTCGAGCAGCAATATCCAGAAGCAGACAACTGTACAGCCGATGATAGGCGCTGAGACCGTGACTGAACACAATAATTGGCAGCTGCTGACCCATGCTGTTAAACATGGGAACAGGTGTGGCGTTGGGGGAAACTCGCAGACGCACAAAGAGTGTATCCCTAAGCACATAAAAGGGTATGCCTGCATACGATGCAATCCCGCGAATAAACCGATTATCATTGAAAGGGACGTATGGCACGCCCTTTTTCGGCGGTGGTACATCGGTTGGGTAGAAGACAGCCAGCGGTGGCAGCGACTGTGCACGGCGCCCGTCCACATGAACCATTCCGACGTGATAGCGGCCTCCGAGAGGCACTAGGATCGGCAGCGGCAGCAGCACAAACAGGGTCACACTCATAAATAAGCCGGTGGTGAAGGCCAACGCAGACCACACAGGCGAAACCCCGTGGCAGCGCAGTGCTATTCCCGCAACCACGGACGCAGTGAAGGGAACAGTGTGCAGCGAAGTGAGATAGTCCAACGGAGAGAACGGCGGGCCAGCAAAGAACCCTTTTACTGCATTCGGCAGTGGTGAACTCATGTCCTCTGCGTGCAACACATTTTGAGAGTGAGGCATGTCTCCTGGTTCTTTCTATGAAACAAACACACACACACACAGATACGGATACATACAAGCACGAGAACGAAAAAAAAAGCACAAACAGGACAATGAAAATAATAATAATAATAATAAACAGGCCAAGGAAATTGAGGACAGAACACATGAAAGACTCACACATTTCCATTTAATATACCCACATGAATGTGTCACTGGCGTTTCCTCACCCTTACCACATTTCAACCCCCTTATTTCGTTCATCCTCTCAGACAAGAGCGGCTACAACATCGTTATCCCATCCCTCAGCGAATTCCATGATTTCCTTAGCGACAAAAGGAATGAATGCTGACGACTTCTTGGATGCAAACCGCTTCCGCTTCGTCAGGGGTGTCAACAGACCCATGTCAGTCACACTCATGTGGTCTGTCTCCCCGTGCATTCTATGTATGCAAAGAACACCTGCTGAAGTAAGCAGCTCTTTCAACGCCTCGAGCTGTACACAGTGTTCGCGACGTTGATACCACTCTTCAGAGTCCACTAGCTGGACATTGATGTGCGATGGAATGGACAGTGGCCCACGCGTAACTTCCTCCAACATAGTTAGCGGCCATGCATCAAGTGCAGTAACAGATCCTATAAAAGATGACGCCGTTTCGGCCTTCAGGGCGGCAGCCAACATTGTTACTGCACCAAAACCATGTCCAATCAGATGTACTTTCGGTCCTCCAGCGAAGAACACCTTCAAATCCGCAGACCTTACCTGGAGTTTTTGAAGAAGCTCACCACGCGAAATACCACCAATAACAAGCGAAACGTCCTCAAGACGCTTCGCCAACTGAACTGAGCAGCGCTCTTGCACCAACAGTCTTGCATGCGCAGGGTCCTCCCCAGCAGCAGCAGCAGCTGTACCACTCACATTCTCCAAACCAGAAATATCAACACTGTCGGAATGAAGCACACTGTACACAATGGCGCCACGTGCCGCCAACGCCAATGCGAGACGTGAGTACGCCAAATGGTGGGTTCTCGTGGTATGACTCATGAGAAACACCTGCCGGGGCTCCCCTTTATGTGTCATCAAAGAAACGATGCTGGCGTTCCGAGTACATGGAATGCGCACCAGCCGCAAGTGTTTCAGCCACATCGATCGCACTCCAGCTTTCTTAGCGATGGCGTGGATGTAACGTGCGTCGTTTCCCGGAAGCCACGGTTCCCCTTCAATGGGCTTGATCAATGTGGGATAGTACACGGCAAGCTCGCGGGTGACGTGGCGAATACCAACACTGTGCGGCCCCTCCGACGTGAGGGGTGCCATGGGCAATATACAAAACAGCGCCATTGTACACAGTGAGCCAGCTAGAAAAAACAAAAACGAACAGGCCGCACAACTCGGAGCCATGAACACCACTAACACGCTAAGGAGAACACTACTCTCCAATGGTAGGAGGTGCAAGGACAACAACAAATCCTTCGGTGTGACTCGCATCGTTTGACCACCTCTGAAGTCACTCGTCGCCAAATTTTATTCGGCCCTCTTTGCCGATTCGAGCTACTTGAGAGACAGAGAAAACGAAGAGGAGCATGAGTAGTAAGAAACGACCCCACAACCAAAGCATATATATATACAAGAAAAAAAAAAGAACTGTAACAATTGATGACGTATAGTTTGCAATATGTTATATTGACACGCACGCTTGCCACTCAACGAATAAAAGGGATGCCCACCCAGGTTGCAGCCTTGTATGCTTTATAGCGGTCGCCAAAGAACTCCTCACTTCCCAACACTTCTTCCTCATACGGAATGCGATCAAAGAAGAACTTCCACATCACTAGTGTATGGATGACAAGGCAAAGGGGATTCATCAATATCATTTGTGAGAAGACAGTTCTCCAGAAAAAGCCAAAGTACGCCGGATGTCGCAGCACCGCGTATATTCCGGAATCGACAAGCACATGACTTGACCGCCGCTCGATTTCGATCACCAATGAGAAGCTTGTGCCACAGTGCAACATTCCAATAACACGTACTAAATAAAAAGCAGCAGTCAACACAGCAGCGACAGTGACAGTACTGTAGTTCATGCGCAGTATCCACTCCCACGAGGTGCCTCGAGGCGTTTTCCAGCTTTCCGGGATCAGCGTACACTCCACGAGGAACTCCACCCACCCGGAAGCCATCGCAATAGAGTACGCCTTCGAGTGGTACAACATGAAGGCATCGGGGTGCGTGTCATGCCGGCGTATGAGCGCGGCAACAAGAAACTCGCTCATGTGAAAGAGCACCATCGCGGAAATGATGTAGAGACCAGCTGAGTACTCTGCGATGCTGCCAGTGTACCACAGGCTGTGAAATATCAACCCGACCCCAAACACAAAGCACCCACCAAGAAAGAAGGCAGAGAGAGCGATTTCTACAATAAGGTTTCGCTGCAGCTCTCGGTCGATGCGCATTTCTCGCGTGCTCTTATTACTAATATTTTTTTTTTAACGATTATTGTCTCTGATGTGAGCCGGAAATAAACAAAGAGAGGGATCCGGAAAAGAAAAAAATCCCCAAGAGAGTAAACCTACAAACCCACTCTTCTACTCAGCACAATTCCTCTTTCATCCAGAAACGCCTCGGTGAAGCGGGTACAACATGTACGCACACACACACACACACACACTCGAACACATGCACCAGCCTTTCTACCACTCTCCTCCACTCCCTCGCTCTGACTCACTTTATATGTACGCACGCAGAGAAATTTCAGCGCGTTGTCAACACAAACATAACATTCTTGACTACTCGGCAGCATGCTATTGCTAATACTAGGGCTCGTTGCGACCACACACCAATGCACTCTAGGAGGGTTTGGTGAAGCAACGAACGAAACAACCAAAAACAAAAAACGAAACACCCCCACCCTTCTTTTCCCCAACTCCCAGAAGCACGGTCACACATCCCAATGAATATACCGAGAATCACTACCCCTATGAAAGCACAACAAAAAAAACGCAGTCCCCCTTCTGGGCTTCTCAGTTTCTCCATTCGTCATGATCGTTGCCTTTGCTAGCGCGGCCAAAGGCCCACTGCCCCCTATAGTACTCTTCCACAAGCTCATCTGGGTAATCGTGCACGCCACAGAAGGGCATGTAAAGTGGCATACCCTTATTGATTACCCAGCGCGAGTACCCAGCTTCCTCTAATGCGCGGCGCTCTGGATTCACTAGCAGACCAGGCGCCGACACCCACATAGGGTCACGAGAAAAGATTTCACCAGCATTTATAGGTGAAAACTCGTCATACTTGATGTTAAAGGGAAGCGGCATACCGAGGCGTGAGTTGTGGCCCCACTCGCCTCTTGCCTTCACCTGCGCTGGGGTATGGGCCGCGTTGCCCTGGAGCCACTTCAACCACATTGGGGAGGCTGTATGCGGGGCTTGGCCGCGGAACCAGTGCGGATCTACTGCCTCCACCATGCGCACGTGGAAGTGGCCTTGTGAACGACGGGCTAACCAGTACTTGTTTCCGTTTTCATCCTTACCTACAAAGATCTTTTCGTCTTTGCGCCGCCATGGCTCGCCAATATAATAGTGTCGTCGGATAGCACCCCATAGACCAAACATGCGGAAGTCGTGCATCCACCAGCGGAGCCTATTCCACGTGAAGGAGTCTTTCCATGGCACGTCACTCTGGCGGTGGTGATGACGCGGAAAGGGGTGAGGGTCGTCGTGGCACTTGGTGTAGACGAAGTTCTTCGTGCCGCAAAGGGATGCGGTGGCCGCCATCTGGCCGTACTTCTGTGCCAACGGGTTGCTCCCCATGGCACCATACGTGAAGATGCTCGTCATTCGTGATGCAGAGACCTCGCCTGGCACCGATGAGGCCAAAAGAAAACACGCGGGGATGGGAATAACCAGCTTTTCGCTAAATAGACCAGCTACCCTTCCCACAATCCTCTTCCTACGAACTCTCAATACAGCACTTGGGCCGAAGAGCCAAAAATAAAAACAAAACACAAAAAAGAATAAAAAAGAGAAAGATAACGCTACCAGAAGTGCGAGTCTCTTACATATACACATACAAAACAGACACAGACCCCAGCACAGGGTGAGGAAGACACCGTACAAAAAATGGTAAAATTGGGAATATTTGTCTTACTCGAATGACGTCACCCTGTCCACCCAGTTAAAACGAACCTCTCATCGCCAACTTTCTTCCTTTCTTTCTTTTACTCTCGTGCGCGCTTTCGAGAATGAAGGGCCTCTATGGCTTTCCGCTCCTCTACAGCAGGAGTAACGTCAGGCACAGAAAGAGGCTTGTCACAACCAGGGCACAATAACGGTGACTCGTTTGGATCGTCGCGACTGATCATCTCCTCCACCTTTTCATTGAAGCACCCCTCACAGAGGAGCGTCGCACAGCATGGTGTCTTCATTGCATTTTTCGCTAGTACCTTGTCCCATCCGCAGAAAAGTTTGGCTTCCGCAGCGGAACCCATGCTGCTCTCCGCAGCCTCCCCACCAATACCATCCACACCACCACTTTTCGTCGTGACTGATTCTCTTGCCACGTCTTGCAAACCATCAGGTGTCGTTACGACACCCGTAAAACTCGCATTGTCAAGCCGCCGCTTCACCAAGCGCCCATCACGTGTGACAAACTTCGCTGCCGGGTCATCCATTGTGCACTCCACTAACATGGTCTCCGGAATACCTGTCGGGAGGGACAACACCTTCAGCCCCCTTGGCCCCTTTGCCGCTGGGCAGTGCTGAATAAGGTGCCCTTTTTTGCCGCAATTGTGACAGATATAGCCAGCCGGAGGCGGGCGGAATGAATCATCACGACTCCCGCCAGGACCCCCCATAGGGCGGCCGCGCATCTGCCGCATGCGCCAATTTCCCACTTCGTCAATACCCGTTTCCGCAGCCACCGCCTCACTGAGTTGTGCAAGGCGCTCCTCCTCTGTTAGCGGTGCTGCCCCGTCTTTGCCGCCAGTACCCATTCTCTGCATAGCGCGGCCAGATTGCCTTGCAGAAGTCGCTGCTGCTTGTGTCACTGCCGCTCCATCACGTTCACGTTTGGGCGGTGGCCTGCCAGAGGCGACGTGCCGCACCACCTCCACAACGGTGTACGCTGGAAGCTCCTCCTCGGGATGCAGGTAATCCGAGGTACCGGACACGAAGATGTCTATTTCCTCCGCTGATCCACTCAGCTTCTCTGCGATTGCCTCCTTGATCTCACGACATGAAATCACTTTATGGGGCACGTCAATAACGCCAACGTGATTACTTGACCGGAGTTTGAAAGTAATCGTTGCCACCATATCGAATAAGGTAATGTGCTCCCCTCTTTTCTCTCTCTCTCTCTCTATATATATATATATATATATATATATATTGGTTGGCGGGGTGATACTGCATCGTTGGTGCTACTGCTGGGTTTAGTTTTAGGCACGGGCTCCCCTTCTGTTGTATTGACTCTTTTTGCACACTTACGTACACACTATGCGTGTAGGCGCTGTAGCAACGATGGAGTTGGCGGGGGACGGGCTGCTGGTGGAGACGAAGCGGCTGCTGGCGGCCCTCAACGATGAGAACAAAGAACTAAAGGTGGAGAATACTCGCCTTCTTGCACAGTGTAGGGCGGCAGCTGAGAGGGTTATGTGTGTTACTGCAGAGAAAGAGGGTTTGGAGAAGGATCTGAAGCAGATCAACTTTAACCTTATGCAACAACTGCGAGTCAAGCTGAGTGCATCGAAGGAGCATGAACGGCGGGCGGCGCAGCTGCAGGAGAAGTCGAGTGTATTAGAGACTCAATTGCAGGATGCCCGCCTGGCGCAGGAGTCCGCCGCAAAGGAGAGCACCATGCAGCGTGAGCAGATACGTGCACTAGAGAGCAAGCTGCAGCAGCAGACAGAACGGCTCTTCCGCACCGAGGCAGAGGCAGGCAGGTATGCCGATGACCTTAACGCCGCTATTGCTGGTCATCGTGAAAATACAAAGAAGATACAGAATGATGGTGCTCAGCGGCTGAAGCAGCTGGAAGAGGCGCTGCGAGTTAGTCGAAGTAATGAAGCAAGTTTGGAGCGTATTGTAGAGGAGCTTCGCTATGAGCTGGGACGTGCGAAGGATGCCTTGCGGCAGAGCTACAGCAGCAGCAATGAGGGGCAGCGCCGCACTCTTTCAGCTAGATCGGAAGTTGTATACGCGCATGAGCAGGTGCTTGCAGCATGTAGCTCGTCGTATCAGCAGTTGCGGGAACTGCAGCAGCACGTGCATGCTCTTGAGAGTGTCGCGGCTGACACCAATAGACACATGGAGCGGGCCCTATGCGACGGCGAGGCGCGAATGCGGCAGCAGATGGAGCAGTTCGTGGCCGCAGACGAGGCCCTCGTGGCGTTTCTCTGCCAGAGCGTTGCGGAGAGGGAGGAGGAGGCACGCGCGGCGCGTGAGGAGCTTCTCTGTGTGCAGCGCCGCCTCGGCGCGGCCGAGCAGGAGCTCAGCAGCGCGCAGGCGGAGCGGCAGACATGTGAGGAGACATTGGCAGCGCTTCGGTGCGAGTGTGACGAGCAGCGGCTACAGCATCAGGCGCAGGCGTCAGACGCTCAGTCGCTGCGCGAGGCCCTCACGGCCGTGCAGCGGGAACTGCACGC